CATACTTGGAACTAATAGTATCCTGACTCTCAGTTACTAATCTATCAGGGGTCCCAGAAATAGACCCCGGACAGCAGCGAGTCTGACGGGTCTGACTGTCATAGTGATATTCCTACTAGATGAGTTAGTTTCTACCTCACTGCTTCTCCACACTCAGGATTATGTACGTTTTCAGGAAATTTTCCCGCGCATTTTGACTTTTCTTAAGCCATTGCTGCGCACAGTTGGCGCAACTTCTGGCCATCCTCACTTGTGCGCACAAGCGTCGGTGCAGCGCGCGCAAGCGTCTGTGCAGCGCGCACAAGCGTCGGTGCAGGCCGCAGTGCGCACATACATTTTGTCAAGGGACGAGAGACAGAAAACGTATAATACTCAATATGCATTTAATTATCCATCAATAATCTATGATTTTCCTTGATATGGAAATTTTGTGAAAGTAAAAATCTAGAAATTTATTTTCGAAGAAATTCTATACAAATTTCTTATTCGAACTGACAAACATCGTTTGTTTACCTTCCATAGACCGTCCAGACGTGAGGCAATATTCTGTCCAGACGTGAGGTAAGTGGTGAATAACCAAGTCCTCAGAAATTGGGCATATTAAGTAAACAAATATTAGTGTTAAATGACAGATTTTGCTTGTTCTATATATACCATTAGTGCGCTGATAGGGTTATTAAAGATTATACGGTTAATGAAAGGAGTCAGAAATAATTTCATCATTGTAATTAATGAAAAATAGTTTTGAGTGTGAAATCTTTTGTAAATAGAATATGTCTAGACATAACTGTCATTAGAAATTCTTAACATTGTCTCTACATCCTTTTTACACAATGCGTGGGACCGGTCCGACAAAATCGCGTGAGCGTTAGTGTGGGTTACAACGTGGGCCAGCCCAGCCCTGAACCTGCCCTACACCTGCTCTCCCTTTAGGTACGTTTTATTTACTCAATTTGTAAGCAATAATTATGAAATTAAATACATGGTTTCACATGCTTATTGCGCAGTCGCACCAATTTTTTACATTTTTACCTCATCTCCATTGCAAATAAAACAGTAAAATGGGTTTAAATGGGCAAATTCAGTCTTGTAGGTACGTTTTATTTCCTCAATTCCTAACCAATAATTATGAAATTAAATACATGGTTCTACATGCTTATTGCACAGTCGCAACGATTTTTGTTTTCTTTTTTACCACATATCCTTTGCAAATAAAACAGCAAAACGGGTGCAAACGGGCAAATTCAGTCCCGTAGCTACTTTTTATTCACTCATCAAGGGACCTCAAGGTTAGGTCAAGTCAGCAAAGACCATTTTTATTACTAAAAAAATAACTTGGAAGACTTAACCCAGTGGTTCACAAACTTTTTCAGGCTGGCACCCCCTTTGGCTCCCTAGTGAATTTCTAGCGCCCCCCACAGACACATATAAAATCAAGCGCCTCTTACTATAAAATTTAGTTCGCTGTAATTTTAGAAGATAAAGGTTAAACATAAATGTGTATTCACAAATAAGACCCCATTTAGTGAACCAATGTGTTTTTCAGCTGTTTTAATTGTTCTAGCACTAGAAACCTAGGACATCTCAGGCAAATTTACGGCCGGATTTGTGGCCAGTCTCACGACCAATCTCCAAATTCAGTTATCAAAGAATACCTTCAAACTAATGAACGCAGCTCAATAAAACTTGGAACATGTATTCATCAGAACTTAACGGTGACATTTAGCTTGCAAAAATTTTTTTTAATATTACTTTCATTTGTGAGTTATATTGCGATACACGCCGAAATTCGCAGTGATCAAAGATTTTCTTCCTAACTACCAAACAGATTTGAATGAAATTTGAATATACATTCCTAACTACAAAATGGTGTTTTTTAGATTGAAAAAAAAAATTATTTTACCATTGTTTCGCACGTATTGCTGTTTAAATCATGAATGAAACTCGCGAACGAAGACACAATTGAAAAAATTTTCACAAGCTAAGCATCACCGCTTGGTATTTAGGACTGTAAATTCAAAATTTCATCCAAATCTGTTCAGTATTTTGGAAGAAATTCTTTGATCACTGTGAATTTGGCCTGCAATGCCATATAAGTATGGCAAAAACAATTGAAGGCAAAATTCAAGAAATTTTCACAAGCATTACCGTTAGGTCCTAATGAATACGTGTACAAAATTTCATCAAGTTAAGTTTATTAGTTTGAGAGGTATTCCTTGATCATTGAATTTGGAAATTGGCCGTGAGACCGGCCGTTAATTTGTCGGAGATGTAAACCCAGGAGAGGTTAAAAAATATAACTCTGTCCCCACTGCAGTGAGTGACAGAGAGCTCATTTTATCGTTGACGAAAACGTGAAGTAACTGACTGACAGACAGGCGGACAGAGGTATTCCTTGATCATTGAATTTGGAAATTGGCCGTGAGACCGGCCGTTAATTTGTCGGAGATGTAAACCCAGGAGAGGTTAAAAAATATAACTCAGTACCCACTGCAGTGAGTGACAGAGAGCTCATTTTATCGTTGACGAAAACGTGAAGTAACTGACTGACAGACAGGCGGACAGACAGACGGACGGACATGGTGAGCACAATAGTGCATTTTTTCCATAAGTGAGTAAATGTGCTAAAAACAGATCTGGGTGAAAAAAATCGCTGGGAGTCATGTGCTGCACATGTTGTGTACAAATCGTCAAACACGTCAAACAAACGTTCGAACTTCTGACTTTGACTTTGGACTGCCGCCCCCTATCGCCCCCCAAAAGCCCTCTTCTTCTTTACTGCCCCCCAAAATCGTTCCATCGCCCCTAGGGGGGGGATATTGCCCACCTTGGGAACCACTGACTTAACCTAACCTGTGAAGACTGTTGACTTCATAATAGTTGTTTTATGTGTTTTTTAATGACCAGGCCCACGATCTGGTATTATTCTGGTATGGGCCTAGTCTGGTATTATACCGGTACCAGAAATGAATGAGTGTGGTATGCATCCTTATGTACCTTAGGTACCATGCCTTTTTACGTAAAAAAATCATCTTGCCTGTGCAAGAAGCATGTAAAACTGTGAATTTTATTTCATAACTATTGGTTACAAATTGAGGAAATGAAAAGTACCTACATGACTGAATTTACCCGTTTGCACCTGTTTTTGAGGTAAAAAAGAGAACAAAAATTGTCGCAACTGCGCAATAAGCATGTGAAACCATGTATGGTATTTAATTTCATAATTATTGGTTATGAATTGAGGGAATAAAACGTACCTAAAGGGAGAGCGAGCCAGGCTGGCCCACGCTGTAACCCACGCTAACGCTCACGCGCTTTTGTCCAACCGGTATGCATGAGTCTCTTGAAGCTATTCATATTTTATTAATGTTTGTTGTTAGTCTATATAATTAACCTTCAAAGTTGCAAAAAATGAGAACTGAATTATTTAAAAAGAAGTGCAATGCCTGTATTTTTATTTTCAATGGGTTTGCACCGCACAAACCAATTTCTCCAGCTGGGAGGATGTCGGGGACTCGGGAACGTAACGTATTCCTGACATTGACATTCGGGTTTGTACGATTTGCCAAAGTCAGTCCTTCGTTGGAAGGAACGAATCTCAAGCCACCTACGATGTCGGAATATAGGGTAAACGCGGTATATTCCGACATCGTAGGTAATTCTGTCACCTCTCCTGCTTTTCCTTTATATTAAGCTTTGTTTTAGTTACATGCGTTCATTGATGGTTGAAATGGTGACGTCATACATTTGCGTGTCAAAATACTGCAAAAACACTAGGTCTTGGCCATCTAGTGGGAAAATATTGAGATCCAAAGAGAGACAATGCATGCCACGTGGTGAGATCATCGAAAAATGTGTCAAATTTGACAGTTGAAAATGGAATTTGAACACGTGGATGTCGGCAATACGTATCAGTTAAATTTGAAGCGCTGACGCAATACGACTCACCACGTGTCGAATATTGCCAAATGCCACAAAACGTGACAGAATATAGGGATTTGGTAGGACCGTCTACTTATGGGACTCAAAAATGAACTTGAGGGAGAGTCTAAAAAACTCTCTGCTTTGCCACTATGTGGTAGGTTTCCATTTTAAAGGCTTTTTAATAAATATGGCAACATTTTGTGACGTTTCATCGTTGCTGACGCGTAGTGAAGTGTTTTGAGAGTCATGTGAAGGCAACAGAACTTACGCAACGCATAAGGTTTTTTTTCATAGTTTTTCATTTCTCGATGGGTCGATGCGTCCTTAATGTGTCGGAATATACCGTGTTTACCCTATTTCATAAGGGATTTAATAAATTTGTGAACAAAAATTTGCCATTTTCTCATTTCTCACCAAAGAAATTGGGGAAAAAACATTAGAATATGGAATGGGTGGAAATGGGTCAGACCATCAGATTTACTGAAATTTCTATCATATTCATTAGTGGCTTCTATCTAATTTTCTACTTTGGCTAATAAAAAGTGCCCAACACAGCCAACTGGGAGTCTGGAACTCCAATTTATTGGAAAATTGTCATTAGAATCTCCAAGATAGGCCTAGCAGTAAAAAAATAGGAAATTTCCAATCATGAGTCCACAAGTTAAGTAGGCCTACCAGCCTTTTTTGCCTCTTTCAGTTTCACTTGTGGCTTCTGCAAGCAAGTCCTTAATCATGGTGGCAAATGGTAGGTCAAGTCTCAAGTGAGTCAAGTGAGAAGTGTCATTCTGTGTCAATGACAGACTGATCGATTATCACATCACTCTTAGCTACTCTTATTATCTTAGGTATACCTAGACATACACTTACGGTGTTAGCTTTTCAAAATGATAAAACTCCAATTTCTAAAAAATTTCACCTGCATGGCTGCATCATTCATGAACTATCACTATCAGTAGTTGTAACTTGTAAGGCCACTGAGGCGGATTGTTAAATCAGTTGCTAAAATAAAAAGTATGAAATAATTCTATTCCGACGACGGTCACGTTCACAATAAAAAATAGTAAGGATGAACTTACAGAGATCAGAGCAACAGCACCCTCTTCTCCATTAGCAGCATCGTTTGTTGGGGAAACAGATTCGTCCACTTCATTAGTTAGTAACACTGTTTCACTCATTTTAAAATTGTGGAAAATCGGCAAAATGTTATCAGCAACAGACGTTGGAACGTCCTTTTCTATCTAATTTGTTGGAGTGAAGTCAGACCCAAACTTGCGTACGCAGAGACTTGCGGTGAAAGAAAGCCAAGATTACAGTCATACCGGAATAGTTTCACTCAACCGAGAACACACGAGAAAGTGTTCTCGTTTACAATGCAAAATCATTTCAGAACAGTTTTTTAATATAAAAAAATAACTTCGCTTATTAAATGAGTCAATAATAAGCTTAAGGAAGTTAATTACGAAAAATTTTCATGCCAAAATTTATTTCCATAACAGTAATATACCTCCTTCAGTGAATAATCGTTTAACGTTGAAATGAATATGAAACGTCAAAAAATCGATAACGAAAATAAAATCGAAAGAATTTTCGCGAGCTTATCATCACCGTTGGAAGGTTAGAAACGGTTATTCAAAGTTTCGTTCAAATCTGTTCAGTAGTTAGAAAAAATTCCTTGGGCACTGCAAATTTCGGTCCGAATTGCTTCATAACTCGCGAATGAAGGTGAAATGGAAAAAAAATTCATAAGCTAAACATCACCGTTTGGTCCCAATGAATGCGTGTACCAAGGATTATTGACCTACGTTCATCAGTTTGGGAGATATTTCTTGGCCATAGAATTAGGAGATTGGCCGTGAGACCGGCCGCGAGTCCTGCCGTAAATTTGTCCGACAGCTGTTGAAATGACAGAGACTCAATGATAAGAATTCTATTGAAAATTTTATAGGGTGAAATTTTTCTGAGAAAATATGTTATTCATTGAACATTCATAGATAGAAAGATATGCTATAAACAGATATGGAAGCGTTTCTTTATGGAATAAAGTAGGAAAAGGAAACCCAGTGTAGCGGATCTCGCTACATAGCACTAATGTTATGCATAACATATCACTAATTCTTATATTTTTCATACTAACATAATATAACTAATTTTTATGTTTCTTATACTAACATTAATATTAACACTCACAATACACATTAAAGTCGTACATTTTAAATCATATTAAATAATTATAACATCAAGCCAAAAATAAAAAATCAGATATCTTTGCTCGTGATCTTAACAAAGATCTCAATCTTTTAAGCAGTTTTCTTTATCGTGAGATTCGTTTAGGGATTTGAGTTGAGCAATTATGATCGTGCGCAATCTGCACCAACGACAGAACAGTATTACATAGAATGAAGGATGCTGCTTTATTTTGGGAAAATATATCTTAATGACCCGCATAGCAAACTCGTGTGAAGAGAAGAATGAAACTGAGACGAATGGATTGCAACGATAGTGGGTCCCATTCGATCCCTCTGTCGCACATAGCGAAGGCTAGAGGAGTAGAAAAGTTTGCGTTATGAGTAAGATACGAAAACAGAAAGAAGTTCAATACGAAAATTATTCGAACTATTATATAACGCTATGTCTCACTTGTGTATCGTCGTTTCAAGGTTCATATCAAATAATGATAAATCTCATGTCCAGAATACCCATTTTTTTGCATTATTATTGTTGCAGTATTATTATTTTATTATTGTTTGAATCTCTGGCCTCCATTCTCACTAACCTCTTCCTCTCCATCAATCTCCATGCTCTCTCCAAATGTCGCTTTCTGCTCTCAGTCATGGCAGCAGTCACCTCTGTAGACAGACCTTTACTATCATTGCAATTCATTCGTCTCCCTTTCTCTCGTACATCACACCATCACCATCACCCCTCTCATCAAGTAATACTCTCATCATTTCCAGTCTCTCTCTCTCTCTCTCATATGCATTACACTCTATCGTCAGGCGCTCTACAGTTTCCCTCTCACCTCTGTCGCACATCAAACAAATATCCTCTCTTCTTTCATTCCACCTGTGTGTCCTTGCATCCATACTCAAAGCATTTCCATCCATACCTTGCATACTCAAAATGGGCAGAGTGGCCCAGTGTTTAGTGTTCAGAGTACCCAGATTGACGCAGAGAGGTGCGGGCTCGATCCCAGCTCTGTGCGCCAGTGTCTTGTCAGAATCGGCGAAGAGGCCGGGCGGTTAAGTATAGCAGAATTGTGGCAGTGAGTTGCGAGTTCGAGACCGCAAAATGCTCTGAATGTTCTGCGATGTTAAGAATCGGCGACAGGCCAACGGCCTAATAAACGCTGAAACCGCTATTATTATTATTATTATTATTAATGGTACCGTTGGATAGGGCAGAATGTCAGCTTTCAGATGGACTAAAAACAGGAAAAGCCAATTCCGAAAACTTTAGGAAAGACGCCCCCCTTAAGAATCGGCGACAGGCCTACGGCCTACTAAACGCTAAAACTGCTATATTGTATATAAGTCCACCCAGCGTGTACACTCCCGAAAAAAAGAATAAGCACATTTGAGCCCGGAAAGTAACAATCAGTGTGGTGCCTTTACTGCGTCGATACAAGGGTCAAATGATCAAATCCGAAGCGACGCTGAATTCGCATTTCACAAATTCATATAATTCAGTGTGCCAGAGCGGTGGGCTCAGGGCTGCAGTCAGTAGTAGTTGGCAGTTATGGGCTCAGATTGATCATTGAGTAAGCTTGGAGTTTGTATTACTCTTAGTATTCTTCGAAAGAGTTTAAATCAATCATAATTGTAAATAAATAATGGATTCAAAGGAATCGTCTAATCTTAAGCGCTCTGTGGAGAATGTTGATGAAGATGATAACAGACGCGGCAAGAAGAAACGTGTAAACGTGAAGGTATGTTAGGTTNCTGTCTCTTATACACATCTAGATGTGTATAAGAGACAGCCTCACAACAGATTCCATTACCTTGCAAACGACACTTGTCAAACTGACAGGGCGATAGTTGCCCGGGCAGCTTTTGTCACCTTTTTTGAACAATGTACAATCTCAGGTCATTTTTAGCGCATTTTCTCATTTATGGAAAAAAATTAACCGTTGTGCTCGCCATGTCCGTCTGTCCGTCCGTCCGTCTGTCCGTCCGTCTGTCTGTCCGCCCTTGACTTCACGTTTTCGTCGACGAGAAAATGCGCTCTCTGTCACTCACTGCAGTGAGTACTGAGTTATATTTTCTTTTCATTCCATGCTTCCATACCCATATGCTGCAAAATTTCACTCTTAATTCTTTTTCTTAAATTTTTTGACATTCCACTCAATCCCTGTTACTCCCTGTACTGTCATCAGCCATTCCTCTCTTGGTCTATTATGACCGGGTTAAGCCCATGTCTCATGTCACTCACATTTGCGTATTATTGCATGACATTATACGTTCCCATTTACTCAATCTCAATTTTCGCAGGTACATCTTTTGGGCCCAACGTTCATCAACCCTTCTTTTCAGTCTTACCCCAATGCTGCTTTAGTTCTGCTCTCTCTACACCTGCTCCATATCGACTAGAAAAGCATTGCTGAGTGCAGGCGGTATAAATGGCTAAAGATGAATGAGGTTGTGAATGTTGGATAGTCAGAGTGGGCTAAGTGGAGAAGGGTATGTGGCAGGGTCTATTTCATTTAGGTATGAGAGAAGTACGGTATCAGTAATTTGTTTGTGTGAAGTTGGGCAAGATTCCTGCATGCAGGTCTAGGTAGGTTGATTTCAGGTGGATCTGTGGTGCAGGGATGTTTAGAATTTTATTGTGAGGAAGGGTTGCAGGATAGTTTTCTGTGATTGTAGTGTGGATTGTTTTGAGATTTGTTTGAGTGTGTCTTGTGTGGCTTGTTCAGGTGGAGTATCTATGTTGGTGGTGAAACCTGAGTTATGGAAAATGGTTTGTTTCACAAGATGATGTGGGTGCGGCGGAAGGGTCAGGTTATGTAGTGGGTAGGTTTGGTTTCGTGCTTTCTGTCTGAGATGAGAGGCATGAAGTTTGAGGTGTTGTGTTAGGGGTAGAAGTTTGGTTTCTTGGTGAAGGTGATGGATGTTGGTGTCTGCAGTACAGCCTGTGGCTATCCTGAGTGCTGGCTGGTAACAAGTGAGTGCTGGTTCTGGACTGTTGCTGGTCTGGACTGGAACTATCCTGAGTGCTGGTTCTGGACTGTTTGGAGTTTGTTCATGTGCATGGGTGATATAATTGGTGACCAGGATGAGTTTGTATTCAAGGATTGAATGCATGATTGTTTGGAAATGTGGTTGTGAGTAGTTCTTTTTATTTTCCCCATTGTGTGGCTGTAAGTGATTTGATTATTTTGATGGTGTTATTTGTTTTGTTGCAAGTTTTGCTAATGTGTGTGCTGAATGTGATCTTTGAGGCAAAGTCAAGTCTAAGTATTTTAGGGTTGCATACTGTTGGAATGAGTGTCTAATTGATATTGAGTTGTGTACTATATTTGGCTGGGTCAGGTGTGAAAAGAGTGGTAGTGCTTTTTGTTGCATTGAGTTGTAGTTGGTTTTCTGTAGTCCATGTGTGTATGGTTTGTAGGCATGGAAGAAGGGTTTGTGCAGCAGTGTTAAAGTCTTTGTGGGAGGATAAGATTGTTATGTCATCTGCATATGTATTATGTAATCATTTTAATATTGGTGGCGAGGGTTATATCTGAAACGTACATGTTGAACAGTGTGGGTGATAGGACTCCGCCTTGTGGTACGCCTGTTTTGAATATATTCTTTTTGAATTGGTTTTATTGCCTTGTGTGAAGACTCGTTTCTTGAAGATATTGATTCATACGAATTGTGAATCATTTCCAAAGGAATTTAACCCATTATACAGCTAAAACTCCTGCCAGCTCTTTTATAAACAATGGTAGCAAGGACCAACTTCTGACTTTAATTTCTAAAATCGACCATAAATGCTCAATAATATTTAAGTCTGGTGACTGTGGTGGCCAAATGAGATGCTCATTTTCATTAGAATATTCTTTGTACTGTTTTTTTAAAGTCTGGCTGTATGGATTGGGGAATTTCCCTCCAGAAATAGTGCTTGAACCATTGGATGAACTTGGTCCTCCAAAATTCTTAATTTTAGGACAGTCATGGTGATTCTTCCATGAAGAGAAATTATTTGTGCACCAGATTTCCAAGAAATAGCACCCCAGATCATCATCCAAAGATGTTTTATGGTTATAAGGGGGTAGCTGGGATAAAATGACATTTTGGGTGTCTCCAACATAAACTTGGCCATAGGTTAGAAATAAGGTAAACAATGATTTGTCAGAAAATTGCATTTTCCGCTGCTCAAGGAACAAATTCTAAGGGTTTCTACACCACCAAAGGCTTTGGAGCATTTGCATTCAAAACCAGAGGTTTTCTAATTGCAGCCCTTTAATAGAATTACCATCAACCGGGGCTACTTGGGACAGTCCTCTGACACGGCGTAAAACTATTATAGTAGCAAAACTAATTGGAATATTGCAAAACTAAATACAGCGGCATAAACGTCAACATTCTTCCTATCCATGTAGGTAATTGATTTTACCACTCGGTCTAAGATACCCCAAGAGCTGTGGTAACAAAGATCATCACTTTTCAGCGCATTTTCTCATTTATGGAAAAAATGCACTATTGTGCTTGCCATGTCTGTCTGTCCATCTGTCTGTCCGTCTGTTTGTGACCTCAAGTTTTTGTCGATGAGAAAATGCGCTCTGTCACTCACTGCAGTGAGTACCTACTGAGTTATAATTTTTTTGGAATTACATAAAAACTATGAGAGGCAGGAGCCAGCAATTTATGGTGAGTGAAGTTAGAGTATAGACCTGTATTTTGCATATTTCAATTTAAGTTTAATTTAGCTAGTAAAAAATGGCATTTAAAAAAAATATGTCTAAGGTACCCCATTTTACAGTACATCAAAAGATGTGGTTTAATTTTGTTTGTAGAATGGATGACTGGCAACAATATTTCTATTGAAGGCTGACAACTAAGTGCTGTGGCAAGGTTATGAGCATTGACACTCAGACAGTACTGTCAAATTTCAGTCCAAAAGACGCAAAAAAAACAGAACTTGAGTAACGCATACGGTTATTTTTTTATAGTTTTTCATTTCTCGATGCATCCTTAATGTGACGGAATATACCGCGTTTACCCTATCCTGCATTGTGCACTCCGTCTCCAATTGCAGTCAATTTAAGCAGAACAGCAGCAGCGGCAGCACACTCATCATGCTACAATTAGTACAATAAGAGTGGAACAAGCACATGTTCCACTACAAGTGGGCATAGTGGCAAAGCAGAGAGTTTTTTAGACTCTTCCTCAAGTTCATTTTTGAGTCCTATAAGTTAATTAGACCGGCAACAGTAGGGTAAACGTGGTATATTCTGACATCGTAGGTAATTCCGTCACCTCTCCAGCTTTTCCTTTATATTAAGCTTTGTTTTAGTTCCATGCGTTCATTGATGGTCGAAATGGTGACAGTATATATAATATACCCATAGTCTTTGAAATGATATATTTTTATTATATTAAATTACATATATGATTTATTATTTAATTATATGATAAGCTCAACATGGATATTAAATAAATTTAATTTAATAGATAATAATAATAATCTTTATTATATTATTATAATATAATAAACACCGGGACGAGGAACTAATAATAATAATATTAATAATAATAATTACTTTTATTATTATTATTATAATTTTTATTTAATTTGATTAGGTATTAAGGGTAAAGTAATTAATTAACATATATTATATAATATAAATTTATTATTATTAGTATTATTATTATCATTATTATTATTATTATTATAATTATAATTATTACCCACCTCTACTGCCATCATGAATGCACTCATACTTTGCCATCTCTTTCATCTTGTACAATCTCAGGTCATTTTTTTCTTTTCATTCCTAGCTTTCATACCCTTATGCTGCAAAATTTCACTTATTATTATTTCTTCCATTTTTTGACATTCCACCCGGTCCCTGTTACTCCCTGTACTGTCATCAGCCATTCCTCTCTTGGTCTATTATGATCGGGGTAAGCCCATGTCTCACGTCACTCACATTTACGTATTATTACATGACACTTACGTTCCCATTTACTCAATCTCATATTTCAAAGGGAAATAAATTGGACCCAACATTCATCATCCCTTCTTTCCAGTCTTACATCAATGCTGCTTTAGTTCTACTCTCTCTACACGTGTTCCATCCCGGCTAGAAAAGTATTGCTGAGTGCAGGCGGTATAAATGGCTAATTCTTCACCACCAAGCCGTCAACAATATTGTCGTACTACTACAGCCTGGAGCTAAGTGTTACGTACAGTCAGTGGCTACTCACTCACCACAGTCAGGGTATTACTAGGGTATTACTCACGCAGTCCTACTCGAAAGTGTTTAGAAAGTAAAAGATTCTCCCTTCATATTTTCCTGGCTTGACTGACTCTGATCAACACATTTATTGGAGAACTAAAGTTACATTTGGCCGCTATGTAACTAGGATAGTATGAATATTACACGCGATGCATATGGAAGCGTTTATAATGGTTGAAGAATTTCCAATAATTCAGAAGGGCCTCAATCAATGTGTGACACGAGACTCATGGACATTTCTAATTGACGAATTTTTCTTCACCCGACCTTGCAAGTCTTGGAGTTGGTGCAGCTAGTTAACGACATAGACTTGAACTATGTCTCCGACATGATATTGTCTCCGACATGATATTGTCTCCGACATGATATTGTCTCCGACAAAATATTGTCTTCGACATAATAATATAACAGCAAGTTTTCATTTATTCTAAGGAACCATAAACGACGACAGATTTCAATGGCTATTTCGTGAGTCTAAATATTATTGATCAGAAATGTTTGAGTGAATAACGAGTTATTAATAAACTTGAGCGCTAATTCTAAACACTAACACTATTTGAGTTTTCCAAGATAATACTGTCATGGATTGCAGTTATAACGTATGGAGCTCTAATATTCAACGTGAATGCATCCAGGTTAGCATTGTTCCTTGTATGAATGTTTTTATATAAATTCCATGTGTGTTGGTTTGTGTTGAGTGTATGAGGTGCAGGTATCCTGGCTACCATGTTTGGGCGGGGGACTGCTATAGCGACAACAGGCCACCGCCGTCCGCTAGCCCGCCTCGGCCGCCGAGCGCGGCTCAGTGCAGCAGAGGAGGCCGTCTTGTTATGTTGGCTTGTTTGGTCCTCCGCCTCAGCAACTTTCAAGGTTTGTAACTTATATAATAATGGTTATTATCTTTTTCAGGCATACCATGTAATTTTTGATGCTGTTAGCCATAATCTTGATTTTATGAGATATTTTTGGAGGAAAGTCATTTGAATTTCAAGTTTTGAAATTGAATTCGATGATATATATTAAAATGCACGAAAATATTTTAGTTATTTGGTCAAGAATTTCGATATATATTAATCGCGAGCGTTTTCTATAAATCAACGAAGGTAGCATTTATGTTAGTAAGTGAAGGCAATTTCAACAAATTATTGATATTAAATAATTTGTTGGAACTATGTCTCCGACATGGTATTGTCTCTTCATCTAAAGTGCAGCGATTTTATTTTCCATAAAGTATTTAATGCATTTTTTGTTCCCCTTGTGTACGCTTGAGTGTGTGTGTCCTAGTGCTATTCGAGCGTGATTCCACTATTTTATCAATTAATTGATCGAAAGTCCTATTTTTAGGTTTGTCAGTAAAAATTGAAGAAGGCGTGTTTTGCCCAAAAAATTGTTACGGATTTTTTGCACAATTTTCTTTGGAAGAAAAACAAATTCAAATAGCCCGCCAAAACATGAAATGAATTAAATGAAAATTTTTGCTGAAATCTCTTTTCAAAATTCTTGCAGCTCAAAAATTAGCAACGGAATTCATGATTTGATATTTTGAGACTTGAGACAAGGCGATCATGAAATATGTGTGACCACTCATAGAAAACGCTGCTGTCGACGCTGCTATAGTTGCATACATTCAGTGCTCACACAATTGCTATTATATCCCCTAATTGGGATCTAATTCAATTTATGTCAAAGTTATTGTGCTAATTTTTTTGCATACGTAGATCGTTCAAAGTCCTCTATTTTAAATGTATCGAAAAAGAACAGTTTTTGCCCCAGTGCGTTTTGTTGTTTTTGATGGTAAATTTGCTCATAGCTGATATACTGCAGTACCTCTTCCTACAAGCCCCACACATTTTATTGCAGTACCTCTTACTACAAACCCACACATTCTATTGCAGTACCTCTTACTACAAACCCACACATTCTATTGCAGTACCTCTTACTACAAGCCCACACATTCTATTGCAGTACCTCTTACTACAAGCCCACACATTCTATTGCAGTACCTCTTACTACAAGCCCACACATCCTATGCGCGCCATTTGCACAGTGCCCACCCGCTAAAATTCTGTCCTATTGCTACACGGAAATCATTTATCAGTATACTGCATGACGCACAGTAATTTGTGACTTTAAGATTTACTTGAGGACGAGAAATATTAACGCCTACTTAGTGAAGGATGACTCGACATAATATTTGTAGACGAACATAACGTTTAAGGTTTGCTAACAGACTTTGCTTCCTCTTTGCAGGTCTTTCCAGATAAACCGAAGATAACCTATAGATTTCCCAGTCCTTATTTAAGTAACGTGGAGCATCATTATCCTCAATTTTAATACCTTACTGAGCTCATCAGTTCAGTCAAATTAAATTTCAAGAAAAAATGTAAACAGAACTTTTACCGAAAAATTTGTAATCATTCTCGCTGAATTCAGCACGAAATTTAGACTCGTAAATTTCGAGCTGAAGTTTTGGAAGTTCCTACGTCATGAAACTCAGACGACAACGCAGTCTAGGGCTGCTCCTTCTCATGGCCGCCTCTCTCGGTAAGAAATTTGTACAGAGAATTAAGACTTAAGTTATATAATCTAACATTAAAGAAGACATTCTCGCTTATTTAGAAATTGATTTTATCTTTAATCTGAGATTAGTTTTACCTACAGTAGACTGTATATATGAACCACGAATCCTCTGTGCAATTGCCTTCCTGACCTATTTGTTCGCGACAGTTTTGAGCCATTTGTAGGATATCACTACGTTTATTACAGAACCTGATCTCGTCCAGATGTTACTCCGTCTAAAGCTGATTTTTAGTTTGACGAAGATAACTAGACCCTCATATGGTCTTATTATCTTTAGATAGGACCTTCATGCATTAAAATAAGATAATTTTTATTATCTTATTTTATACAATAAAATAAGATATAATATTTATTTTTAAATTCTATAATTCAAAGAACATTCATTGTCACTGTCGAAAATCCCGACGCTATATAGATTAATGAGCAAATGCCTTTCACATTCAACGAAATAAGTTAGCGAAAGAACGCAAATAATTGTCAAGGGTGGCAAATATTTTTCAAAATCCGTGATTAACTTCTAGTTTCCCTTAGATACAAACAATCCAATCCCACGCGGAACACAAAACAGATCACGCACCTAGCGTTTTGTTGCGTGACCTACAGCGGAAACGCTTCATCGGTAGGACACTACCTAATACTTGGCCGATACAATGTGCGTGTAGAGCGCACAAAGACGTGTCCGCTTGCCGAATAATGCTCAATGGTTTAACAGATTAAATTATATGACGACTAGCTGCCGCCAGTGGCTTCGTAATGCACACACACGATGATTTATCTAAATATAAGGCGTGGTCGCTCCTGCATTGTGGGTGACTTCATATATTGTGCCTCACTTATACCAGAGGGGAGGGAAGGGCATTGTAAATGAGCCTCATGTTTATCTACGCGACTGAAACATGTCTTGTAGTGTGTGAATATTACCCATCATTTAACTGACATTGCGCGATTAAAACTATGAATGACATAATACTTTGACATTTTAATGAAACACGAAATATATTGGAATAAATATATCTCTGAGAGAAGCAAATTAATAGTTCGTAAGACTTTCCAATAACATCGCGATTGATTATCGTGCAATCATGAAAAACAAAATTTAATGTAATCACAGAACCATCGGGGATTGATTCTGATGAATTTCTTGAAACCTGTGTTCTATTGTAGCGGTACCACTTTTCCATCAGCACCTAACCTAATTGCAATGTCTATGATGGAGGCATCTCAAATTTTTCCTATGAGGTTCAAGTAAATATGTTCAAAATATATACAATATATCCATTTTAAGCTACGTATGTTCATTTGCAGCTGCGGCGAGAGAGTGTCAGCACAGGCCACGAGACTGCAAGGATGACTCGTGTTTGGTGTAAGTAAGCTTATACATATTTTAATAAGATGACAGAACAGCAATGTGAACAAATTTAAGCAGTAAGTAAATAGTAAGTTATCGTGATATGTTGATTCAAAATAATTAGTAATTTTCACGTTTGTAAAAATATATATTATAAAACTTATACAAACTTGAAACATATACAAGCTTAGCGTTTCAGCATTAACGTCTTGTAATTGTGAGACGTGTGACGGGAGATGTAAGATTTTGTCGCATTTCATTGACAAGTGTGCGAAGATCGGTACATTTTCCACTGTATATTCCGGCCCTGAAGACTTGTAGCTTGAAGACATTTGTACTGCCTATATACTTACATTAATTGCGTTTGAATTAATCCACACTGCAGTACATGGCAGTGTGGGGAGAACTCTCAGTGCGGCGCGCGTAGAGGCTGCGTCTGCCTGCCCTGCTACAGCGGCGACACCTGCGACGACTACGGTCAGTTTGTGGAGATAAAATCTACGTCCATCATATATAAAATAATTCAAGTCAAATCATATCTTTATTTGTGCCTGTATCTATTGAAAAAAAGCTACATGCATCATACAATTCAAGTCATATCATATCTTTATTTGTGCCTGCAACTTAATCAAGTTTAATCATGCAACTTAAGTCCAATAATAGTTCTTGGGACATTTTTGTGTATGATTCTATTTCAATATAATTGAATCGTATATATTAAATGAAACTCTGTTGAAATTTTGCTTCAGAAAATCATAATGATTATGATATCCTCTCTGCTTATAGTAGGCCGATACACATAAGTTTACCACAGAAACAATAATGCTGAAAGATATCCTCTCTGCTTGCAGTGGACAGATACCCAATTATGCTGCAGGAAGCATCCGATGTCTTCATCAAAATCTCCCCCGACCATTCAGGTGCGTTGATTTGTGAAGGCGTTGAAAGCTCTTGATTTGTGANTCAGGGCTGCCCTGCCAAGACCAACATAAAACACTTAATCGTATGTCCTTGTGTCTCAAGCGCATGTTGTTATAATATTCTCAGGGCTGCCCTGCCAAGACCAACATAAAACACTTAATCGTATGTCCTTGTGTCTCAAGCGCATGTTGTTATAATATTCTCAGGGCTGCCCTGCCAAGACCAACATAAAACACTTAATCGTATGTCCTTGTGTCTCAAGCGCATGTTGTTATAATATTCTCAGGGCTGCCCTGCCAAGACCAACATAAAACACTTAATCGTATGTCCTTGTGTCTCAAGCGCATGTTGTTATAATATTCTCAGGGCTGCCCTGCCAAGACCAACATAAAACACTTAATCGTATGTCCTTGTGTCTCAAGCGCATGTTGTTATAATATTCTCAGGGCTGCCCTGCCAAGACCAACATAAAACACTTAATCGTATGTCCTTGTGTCTCAAGCGCATGTTGTTATAATATTCTCAGGGCTGCCCTGCCAAGACCAACATAAAACACTTAATCGTATGTCCTTGTGTCTCAAGCGCATGTTGTTATAATATTCTCAGGGCTGCCCTGCCAAGACCAACATAAAACACTTAATCGTATGTCCTTGTGTCTCAAGCGCATGTTGTTATAATATTCTCAGGGCTGCCCTGCCAAGACCAACATAAAACACTTAATCGTATGTCCTTGTGTCTCAAGCGCATGTTCTTATAATATTCTCAGGGCTGCCCTGCCAAGGCCAACATAAAACACTTATTCGCATGTCCCTGTGACTCAAGCGCATGTTCTTATAATATTCTTATAATATTATGGTTCTAAAGTAAGACAACATATCGTTCTTAACCAAGCCAGCATTTGGTTCTAAGCCATGAAAACATATGGTTTTTTAGCCAAGCCAGCATTTTATTCTATACTGAGGCAACATATGGTTCTTAACCAAGCCAGCATTTGGTTGTAAACTAAGGAAACATATGGTTCTTATAATGGGCCGAAATAAGTTTCTTAAGTAAGCCGTTCTGTGGTTATATGCAAAGCCTAATATCAATGTGGTCTTGTCTTTTGTAGGCACGCGTTATAATTTAGGCAATTCAACCTTCGCTAAAAGTCACAAACCCCAGTTTGCATGGCTTTATGTAGAGAGAATGATGCTCTCATTTATAAAAACTGATCGAAAGTGAAGAAACGAGCGAGTGAAAAGAGCAACATGGAATGAATTAGAGTGAAGGTAGTGAATGGGGGGGTTAAATTTAAATTTAATAGAGTAAAATTTATTAAATGGAGTGAGATGGAATGAACTAAAGTTAAATGGAGTAAGCTAGAGTGAAATGGAGTAGCATGTAATGAAATTTGATGAAACAATTTTCCAGAGGCAGTTCTTTCATTTAGATTTATTATATTCAGACTTATTGATGTACGCTACGCTAGTATATTTTTAATGATTACACCAGTCGCTATTCAATATCTACTGAGTGATCGATAACAGTCTTTAATTTAAGTCTATTTATTTATTACTGTTGCTCGTTAACATGCGTCTACATAGCGATCGATCGCACGTGCTGGTCTCATTAAACCTCACGATCTTAGGTAGTCGCTCGTTTACGTCTACTTTATACTGGGCTACTACGATCGGTAAACACACAAATAAAAGTAAAACTACTGACTTTATATAACTGTTATACAGCTGCTGAATATATTAGCAATATATCAAGCATCTTTTCCGTGATAGAAACCCCTATAAATGAACGATCGCTGCAAACTTGCTAGCTGATCCACAATGAGCATCAATACATATCTATTAAGCAGCTTATAGAATGAAACTAATTATATTGAACTGTTGACACGTTAACTTGGAGTCCGTCGTATACATCTTTTAAAATTTGTTGCTGTTAATCGATGAGGAGGTTAAATGAAGGAAGAGTACAAATAATATGTACGGTGCAGTGAAACCTTCGGTCTCCACGGCAGGTTCGGTGTACCAAGTGAACGCAACGGACGACGACCAAACGATCAGCTGCACTAATATCGCGCGCACAAATCTGTTCACCGAGTGCCCGTGCGGAGCAATAGAGTACGGGCCTCTGAAGTTGATGCGCCCGTTCTCATCTGCCGATGAAAACCCGTTCAAAATGGACCCAGTGACGGGCGACGTCCTGATCAAAGACTCGGCCCTGCTGGAGCCCGGAGAAACGTACTACCTACAGCTGCAAATCCAGCGTGCGTCCTGATGATTTGTTTGCATCAAATTCTTATTATTTTCGTTATAATATATCAATGATCGAGTATTTTTTTAACCTCTAGATAATCGTTATATATGAATTACTTTTTATTTTCATTAATTTGACGTGTTCAGCACACATATTTTTATTCAGACTTCAGTAGTTAAATGCACCCAAAATGCTGGTATGAATTCAGACCAGTCATTTCCCTTAAGATTGAAAAAATATCTTCTGATGTGAATAATATTGATTGTCCAACAAAAAAATTGTTAATGCATATCATCTAATTCGACAACCAACTAACGCAGTTTCATGACATATAATAATAAATTCGATTTAGCCAATTCCCTCACTTTCTAATTCTGCTAAATTTTGTTCCGGCTTTGGCGCCCAAATAACAGAGTTTTCTTTCACAATTCTCTAGATAAATAGCATCCGACTGCGTTCCTTCCCTTAGCTTTTCACTCTGCAGAACAATTCCCCGATTCAAAATTTTTAAAGCCGGCAAAGCAACGCAATCATTTCCTTTACGAGCACTTCAGAGAGAGCGATCCGTTGTAATGATCCAAATTATCTGGTCTGAAGCATGTGATGAATACACTTATTAATGTTTTAATATCAGCATGGCTTAATATCTGAGCAGTGGTTTAACAATTTATCGGTACAGCGTACAAGCCGTCGCTGGCCTCAGGAGCGCTGGTCCTGAACCTGACGGTGGAAGTGATGCAGAGCGCGCCGCCCCACGCCGCTGAGGGCGACACCTCCGAGAGCGCCTTCCTGCACCACGACCACCCGGTGCCTTTGAGCCAGGTGATCCCTGCTGCTGGACCCCAGGTGACTGGTGCAGTATTGGGGCTCATAACTCATAACTCATAACTTGGCCAGGTGACTGGTGCAGTATTGCAGGCTCATAACTCGGCCAGGTGACTGGTGCAGTATATTGGGGGCTCATAGCTTGGCCAGGTGACTGGTACATTACTGGGGGCTCATAACTTGGCCAGGTGACTGGTACATTACTGGGGGCTCATAACTTGGCCAGGTGACTGGTGCAGTATTGCAGGCTCATAACTTGGCCAGGTGACTGCTGCAGTATTGGGGGCTCATAACTTGGCCAGGTGACTGCTGCAGTATTGGGGGCTCATAACTTGGCCAGGTGACTGGTGCATTATAATATACTAGACCTGGTGTTTACCAGTGATGAATCAATGTTGGATGAGCTTCGTCACGAGGNCTTGGCCAGGTGACTGGTGCAGTATTGGGGCTCATACTTGGCCAGGTGACTGGTGCAGTATTGAAGGCTTATGGTGATAATCTGTAGATTAAGTTCTGAATGCTTATGAGTACTTTTCCATAAAGTACCTGAAGATTTTTCGTTTTACTAACATATTTTACAACAGGAAAATTTTCGCTGTTCTCTAAATTTAATAATATAATGTCTTGTCTTGAAATATTCGAAATTATTAAAAATATCATTACTGAAAAACTTTTTGGAGGAATGAGGAGCAGAAATAAAATTTCATGGCACCATTAGAAGGCCTCGCATCATATTTTAAAACTAACTACATTTTTCTGTATCCAATCTACCATATCGCCTCTCATAAGTAATCAAGTTTGCCGAAAAATTACGATTTATTGAATGACGAAAGTTTCCTTTCATGAATTTACTAAAATGACCTTCTAAAACTTTTTCTATCTACCAACGTCATCCGAAGGAATAGTTCGACTCATTGAACATTTTTTCTAATGAATTCTCTACTCACAAATCGAACTTGTGTGAAAATATTGTGATGTGAATAAATTTATTGTTCTCTTCAACAGCCCAGCACATCGAAGACTGTGTCCAGGTCGAAGCGAGATGTAAGTTTTGCCTTACATACATTCGTTCAACACAATAATCTTCCCTACAGTTATTAAATAATGGGCTCTCAAATTCCATTATTTTCGTATGCATTTCAGCACAAAAATTACGTGCTCTAAAAAAATATGGGTTGGAGTTTTATGGAGAATATTTGTCTGTTTTTTATGTATCCTAATAAGTTTTCAAAATATAGTGAGTTGAGGTGAGTCTACCCCCGAAGAATCCGTTTCATGCCCTGAATTAAAAAGACTTTAAAATTTCAACGGCAACCCGCCTTCAATACAATAATTTTCAACTTAAATAATTAAAATTAAAAAACTGTACAAACGCTCATTTAAAGATAATCAAATTTCGTTTCAGAATTCGAAAGAAATTCGTTTTTTTCTGTAATATACAATTTTATGTCAGTTTTTAAATTTTTTTTTAACGCCGTTTTGTTATACATTGGGATTACACAATTACAAGTGGAATTTTCGGTCCAAGATAATTGGTTGTAGTGTGGCATGTATTATGGTTACGTTCCCATATAGGCTATAAACTTACGTATAGATTTATAATGACACGCATCCAACGCTGAAATAAACATTTAGGAGTATTTTAAAGATCAGCAAAACTACTTGAGTCAAGGAGCTCGAGCTCCTTGACTTGTGCTAGTTGTTCTTGATACATAAATATTATATTTTGAATAAAGGAATAAGTGATATATACAAAAAATGTTGTTCCTGCTGCTTGAATGTCTTTTTACAAACCAGACAAAAGGAACCGGTTCATCGGCTATCGACTTTGCGCTGACAGTCGTGGGCACTGACCCGACCACGGCACTCCTACCCGGCCAGTCCATCAAGTACAAGCTCAGCATTATCATACCTAAACTCAGTAAGACCAACGAAATGTGTAGATTCAAATAATTTTTCTAAAAACGTACATCACAAACACGCTGACACGAACCGTTCTGTTCTTTTTCATTAACCGTTTTCATTGCTATTCGTAACTATAGTCACGGAAACTAAAGCCGCTGAAGTCCTATGAATTTGCATAATTCGCCTAATGGCACTCTACCAATATGCTGTTAATAGAAGTCCTTTCGCATGCTGTTTATCGAAGCTGATTATCGTTGGCTAGAAACTTGGCAGCGCTCATCATAACACCGAGTTTTCCGTAACAGACTTCGTATAATATCCTGTGTTTGACTTGGAGTGTTTTGGATCGAACAAGATTGCATTCTCTTACATTTTCGGATGCACCTTCAATTTATGATCATTTATTTCCAGATTAAGTGTTTTGCTTTAATTCCGTCCATGTTGTTTTTTAAATAGATATATTTTTTATTAAGTAGGTATGCTTTCCGGGATCATTAAAATGAAATTTTGTCTACTGTTAGCAATTCAAATTTTGTCTAGCTTTCCCGCAATCACACTTCCTTATGACCTTATGATGCGTTTAGACCCGACCACGGCACTCCTACCCGGCCAGTCCATCAAGTACAAGCTCAGCATTATCATACCTAAACTCAGTAAGACCAACGAAATGTGTAGAACATGATATACGTTGCACACCATTGTACAAAAGTTTACTGAACTAAACTCGATTTTTTGGAATATAGAACAAGCTCCTCATCATCGCGACCAAGCTCGCTGAGACCAGTACGATCCCCCGTATGGGTTATCATGCATGCAACCTCATCAAACATTTCATGATACGCGGGGCGCTGTATATAAATTACTGTCTCTGATGCGTACACTAGTTCGAAGTAATAAATACATTAAATATTACTTATTTCTCTCAAAAGTATATCATTATTTATTAGTTGGATTTTTGTATGGCATTGGTTAGAAAAATGTGTTTCAAATAATTTTTCTAAAAACGTACATCACAAAAACGCGGTCACGTACCTCTTTGTTCTTTTACATTAACCATTTTCGTTGTTATTCGTAACTATTGTCAAGGAAACCAAAGCCGCTAGAGTCCTCTGAATTTACATAATAGCACTTTTTCGATATGCTGTTAATTAGAAGTCCTTTAGTGTGCTGTTTATCGAAGCTGGTTATCGTTGGCTGGAAACAGTCTTGGCAGTGCTTATCGTCACAGTAGCTTTCCAGTAACAGACTTCGTAAATAATATGCGTTTAAAAATAACTTTTTAAAAACAACACTTGTAAAGAATCCAGTGCCTCCGATATGTTGCACATATACAATGAATTCCTAATATTATTTTCAAATATTAAAAAATCAATATTAAAATTTTTTTTAATATATGAAAAAATTAAATTGTCAAAATTATTTATTCTGTCAATCGATTCGTGCATTGTCTCCGACTTTACGCAAGTGCGCAAAATTTCAGATCGATTGGAGAGGTAGAAGTGTGTTAAATATCGATTATAAGTTTTGTCGCAGACAAAATTATTTTTACAATTTTTTTCATATTACAATTTTTTATGTTTAAAATTATTTATTCTGTCAATTGATTCATGCAATGTCTCCGACTTTACGCAAGAGTGCAAAATTTGAGATCGATTGGAGAGGTAGAAGTGTGTCAAATATCGATTATAAGATTTGTAGCAGACAGACAAATAAACAAACAAAAAAGTCAACAACAAAAAGTGAAGTTAAAGAGAAGTGTTGTAATATTCTGTGTTTGACTTAAAGTGTTTTGGGTCAAACGAGATTGCATTCTCTTACTTTTTCCGTTGTATCTGCAATATATGATCATTTATTTTTAGATTAAATGTTTTGCTGTCATTCCATTCCTGTTGCTTTTTGTTTCTCATATGTTAATTTCTTATTAAGTAGATATGTATTTAGGGATCCTTAGAATGAAATTTTGTCTACTGTTTAGCCAATAAAATTTTGTCTAGCTCTCCCGCAGTCACACATTCCTATAGTATCATGCCTTCACTCTTCAGCAAATTAAATTTCCTTAGTTTTTACCCAATCCCAAGGGTAATTTCCCTGTACACAAGGAAATTACCCACCTAAACTAATAACATTTTCATGAGAAAGTAGGGAAAGTACCTGGTGATGCTATTCTTACACAGGTATGAAAACGAGCGTGAGCACCAACTTTTATTATATTTGTCCATTATTTTTTATTATTATGAAAAATTAAAAAATTTAACAACAATGAAATAATAACTTGAAGAAAAAAATCTTCAGCCACAGCCATGGACCTTCTGGTCGATATCTTCGTGAGGGACGCCGTGTCGGGCATCACGCCCTTCGCGCTCTGCAACTTACAAATTACGGCGTTCGGCTCCCTGATCACGAGTGGCACGGGCGGCGCTCTTACAGCGGCATCTTTCACACCCGACATCAAGGAGAATGCTTTCCTCTCTGGAGTGGTATGAGAATGCAGTTCAATATTATCTGATTATACAATCACAGAATGGTGCTTTTCACTGGGTATATGGCTTCAGTTATGACGATAAGGAGCTTTCCTTACAATAGAATAACCATATTCACTAACATTTTGAAATTTTTAATTGAACCTCCTGATTCAACATACCAGACTGCAATGATATGACATATCGTTAAAGATATCATACTTTCGAATTTCGTAGCCCATTTGCTGAATTTTACTCAAAGAATCGTGCATAATTGCTTCGCTTTCGTGCAGCAACAATCCTCAGTTTAGTTGGCAATATTCACCATATACGACTAATCTCATCCCACATCACAGAAAATAGCTTTAGAATAAGAATTTACTTAAAATTTGTTGTATTTGAATCTCGCAATACATTTATTATATTTGCGATTCAGGTGGACCACATGGCCATTTATATTTTGCCCTGTCTGCAAGAGATTAACATACCATTGCTTTTCTTTCGCTCCAGAACGATCGAGCAACCATTGACTTCAGCAGTGTGCTGAACAACCCGGCCATCAATTGCGCTGGACCCTTCACTAACAACACCATCGAGATCACCTTCACTGCGTTACTGATCAACAACCCTTCCTACACCAACACTGCAGCCAACGTCACCGTCGGAGCCACGTACGCGGGGGGAAACGTGTGGCTCGCGATGATGTCCTACAACTACGATATGACTGCGGTGAGTGCACCATCGAGGTTACGTTGCAGTACCTCCTCTCTTAATGTGACGAGTTCAGTGTGCGGGTAACCACGCTACCTCTCCCTCCAACCCCGACTACATGAACGCTGCGAGGACTATGCGCTGTTCACACATGCCATATTTATTCAGTTTATACGGCCGTTAAATCTTGCATTCCATGTTCAAAAGTGGAAATCGTATCGCGTTATTTTTGTGCTTCAAAACTTTATTTGGCATTACTTACGTTGAACAAGTCGGGGAAATGCTGCTGAATGTGACCTGCTGCTACACCACAGCGTCACGCCGTGAGTGTTCTACAAGAGGCGAAGTTATGTCACCTGCTGCTTATCCCTGGTATCCTTATTATTTGTTTGGGACATAGAAGTCCCAGGCCACGATGGATCGCCGCCTCTGATTATCGTTCATCCGCCCTCATTTGGGCCACCTGATGAACGATGCTGCTGCTTGCTTCTCGCCACTGGTAGTGTTGCAGGGGAGGTCGATCTGGGATTGTGCTCAGGAACACGTCTAGTTGTCTCTTGAAGGTCTCCAGGGTGAACTCCCCCTCTCTTAGATCCCTTGGNCTTTCCTCTCTGGAGTGGTATGAGAATGCAGTTCAATATTATCTGATTATACAATCACAGAATAGTGCTTTTCACTGGGTATATGGCTTCAGTTATGACGATAAGGAGCTTTCCTTACAATAGAAAAACCATATTCACTAACATTTTGAAATTTTTAATTGAACCTCCTGATTCAACATACCAGACTGCAATGATATGACATATCGTTAAAGATATCATACTTTCGAATTTCGTAGCCCATTTGCTGAATTTTACTCAAAGAATCGTGCATAATTGCTTCGCTTTCGTGCAGCAACAATCCTCAGTTTAGTTGGCAATATTCACCATATACGACTAATCTCATCCCACACCACAGAAATAGCTTTAGAATAAGAATTTACTTAAAATTTGTTGTATTTGAATCTCGCAATACATTTATTATATTTGCGATTCAGGTGGACCACATGGCCATTTATATTTTGCCCTGTCTGCAAGAGATTAACATACCATTGCTTTTCTTTCGCTCCAGAACGATCGAGCAACCATTGACTTCAGCAGTGTGCTGAACAACCCGGCCATCAATTGCGCTGGACCCTTCACTAACAACACCATCGAGATCACCTTCACTGCGTTACTGATCAACAACCCTTCCTACACCAACACTGCAGCCAACGTCACCGTCGGAGCCACGTACGCGGGGGGAAACGTGTGGCTAGCGATGATGTCCTACAACTACGATATGACTGCGGTGAGTGCACCATCGTGGTTACGTTGCAGTACCTTTTCTCTTAATCTTACAACATTAAATCCTCTCTTAATTTGACGAGTTCAGTGTGCGGGTTAGACTCGCTACTTCTCCCTCCAACCCCGACAACATGGACGCTGCGAGGGCTATGCGCTGACCACGCATGCCATATCTATTCAGTTTATAAGCCGTTGCGATCTTGCATTCCACGTTCAAAAGCGGAAATTGTTTCACGTTATTTTTGTGCTTCAATGCTGCTGAATGTCACCTGCTGCTACACCACAGCGTCACGCCAGGAATGTTCTACGAGGTGTACAGTCATATCACCTGCAAAGCGAGGTTTTCGATACATACAACCCACCGCCGCATTTTCGTATCTCAACCGACTTTCTGGATGTAATATGCAGAATCTATTATTAAATATCATCGGTACCCTTAATATTAATAGGTGTAATTCGGCAGAAGTTTTTCTTTTATGCAAGTTTGATTGAAGACCAGAGCACTCATTTTACCAATAACCTACTTATTGTTTTTTCAATGAGTCGAACAAAATTTCTTTCTGGCTCTGGGAGATCAAAAAGCAGGTTACCAAATTACATTTCAATGGAATGAGACGTTTCAAAAATGCACTTTTTATTATCAAGCAGGTGAAGGTTTTGCTACAGTTGAAATTGAATTTTTGGAACAAATCAAGGGTCTTAATTGTGGATACAATTTGAAATCTAAGTTTAAAATTGCTCTGAAACTAATTTCAGCGTCCGGACGACACCTGTAGTTCGGAAGTTGATAGCTGGAGACTCGCTCTTGTATCCTTGACGGAGACTCACTCGTTGCTAGCTGGAGACTCGCTCACCTACGGCCAGTACATGAAAATTTATAAACAACGTTAGTTTCTTGAAGCAGTCCACATTTTTACAGGGATTATTATTCATGGCAAGGTTTCAGATGGCCGCCGACTCAGATTCTTAGGTTGTTGACTTGTTCGTGTTTTGGATTACACTGGAGTAACAATTGTGACATTGAACAGCCGTTTCTCCTACCACCTGAGACAAGCTCACAACCACAACCAGACTAGGTCTCAAAGCATTACAAACAAGCAACTTCATCTCAAGATTATCGATGAATTCAACATAAATTTTTGTTTATACATATTCATAAAATATAGGTTACAGACTTCTTCAAAATATAAACTACATTGGTCTTACTAGCACGACCTTAAGCCGCCGATTCACATGCCATCTACAATCTGGAGGACCTAAGAACCACATGCGGGAAGCTCACAATGAGACCATCACCCGAGCGACATTGGAGGCCTGCACCAGTATAGTTATGCGGTGCCCTGACCCATCGAGACTGGCGATAGCTGAGGCCCTCATTATCAAGAGCGAGTCTCCGGCTATCAACCCCCAAACTACAGGATTCGTCCGGACGCTGAAATTATTTTCAGAGTAATTTTAAACTTGGATTTCAAATTGTATCCACAATACCAATAATTTATACTAAAGTAATTTCCAAAAGTTCAATTTCAAGTGTTGCAAAACCTTCACCTGCTTGATAATGAAAACTATATTTTCGAAACGTCGCATTCCATTAAAATGCCATTTCGTAACCTGATTTTTGCCGCCAGCAAGAAGTTTTGTTCGACTCATTGAAAAAACTAATTAGAAGATTATTAATAAAGAGCATGCTCGGGTTTTCAATCAAAATTGCATTAATATTAAGAATTAACCGTATCGATAGCCCCAACTCCACCATGTCAATCCTCCAAAGCCTCTAAAGTTGCTGCCAAAACCCAATACCAAGCAAGCGTCAGAAATTAAATAATGTGCTCAGCGCCTCTATTGTTTCCCTCTACAATTTCCTCTCCTACCCCGCTCACTTTCCTAGTCTTGTAGCACCACACCACACCACCACCACGCAAGTGGCAGTATATGCATCATTATGCTGCACCACTACGCGTAGTTTAGTCAAACTATTTTCGACTGAACTCCAGCAAAATGAAAGCCGTGCGTGTGCCATCAATGGGTCAACAGTCGATGAATTTGTTTTTTGAGGAGCTAAAACATTAGATATTCCTAACGTGGATGCTTCCTCTCAATTCTTCATCAAGTTCAATTATCAAGCTTTATTATGGAGATTTCCTATAATGTGCTGGTTTAGTGTGTTAGAATAGATATTGTTTGAATATACCAATGCATTTCCAGAAATTAGATAATCAAAAATAATCACCTGTATTATTTTTAACATTTGCGTCGCCCAGAATTACTCATACCCCAGCAACATAACGCTGAACGGCCCCAACACGGCTGCCGCATACTCAGGAGCCACCTTCACTATAGACGCCACCATCACAGACCCCATGGGGCCTTTTACCTTGGAAGTCAACACTCCAAATATGATTTATGTAAGTAAAATATCTCAAAATCATTTCATGTAAAAGAGAAGTCATAAAATTCATAGCCCACCCGATTTGCACCGAACGTTATAATTTTACGCGAAATTCGACAGATATAATAATTACGATTTAAATTCGACGTTTTATTACCATAATGGCTTCCAAAGTATCAGTAAATAAAGTTTTAAACTGCAGAGCTATAAATCAAATGCTTCAACGAATAAAGATTGCTTATAATGTGCCTGCACATAGAAGTTTAAACCTTAAATTTTCCCCCGCCAATACCAGAACAAATTCACGGTGTCGAACTTGGCGATCGTGAGCGTGGGTGCCAACCTTGGCTGCGCCGGAACCCCAGTGCCCGAGTATGAGTACTTCTACTCTGTAGACAAGAGGACCTACCATCGAGGCGTTGCAAAATTCGACTACGTCTTGACGGGACTCGTGTACCGTAAGCAACGCTCAGAAATAAATTCAATAGTCCAAGATTACTAAGCAGCAATGAGCAGGTAATGACAGTTATTTTGTTCAGGTTCAAACTCGTCAATTCGTCTCCTTCAGAATATGGTCGACATAAGTCGAAACTAGCCTAATATTTTCTATATACGACATGCTTCACATGGTTCTATTTAGTTCTAATTTAAAATTGAACTTTCTGTGAAGATTAGAAGTATACTAAAAACATTCATCATAGTACAGAAACGAACACTTGTATACTTTCTATTTAAAAAAAATATAATATGCAGATGTGTAGGTACAAATACTATATCCGATAATAATCGAAAAGAGTGAAAATATTTTGCATACGCATCTTGAAAACACTACAAAATTTCAAGTTGCTGACATTTTACCATCGCACAGCTGATCTTGTCGCTGAACTGAACGATCCTGGCAATAAAATTCAGCTGGGTTTCACGGTGTTCTTCGTGGACGTCGCCGAGACCGAGAATGTGACCGTGGGCGCTGGCATCACCATCGGCAACAGCACCTTGTGGACCTCCCTCATCAACGTCACCATGGGAGCGCCCATCACTGTACCCAACACCGACTGCTGCTACACCACAGCGTCACGCCGTGAGTGTCTAAAAGCGGTGCAGTAATGTCACCTGCTGCTACACCACAGCGTCACGCCGTGAGTGTCTACAAGCGGTGCAGTAATGTCACCTGCTGCTACACCACAGCAGAACACTCCTGTAGAACGCTCCTGCTACGTTCCGGAAGGCAGGAATCATGATGGTCCATTACATCCAGGGCAGTTGTGGTCTTCTGCAGGCGACCCTGAAGAAATACAAGAGCATCTAAGCAAGGTCATGTCAAAGGTGAATCAAAACGCTAAACGATAAATTTCAAGATTCCTATTGCAATCCCTTACAACATAAATTTTGACTGTAAATTTTCGTGTAATATAGGTTGCAGACTTCTTCAAAATATAAACTGCATTGGTCTTACTAGCAAGACCTTAAGCCGCCGACTCACATGCCTTCAACAATCCGGAGGACCTAAGAACTACTTGCGGGAGGCTCACAATGAGACCATCACCCGAGCGACATTGGAGGCCTGCACCAGCATAGTTATGCGGTGCCCATCACACAGCTGATCTTGTCGCTGAACTGAACGATCCTGGCAATAAAATTCAGCTGGGTTTCACGGTGTTCTTCGTGGACGTCGCCCCGGCCGAGATAGTGACGGTGGGCGCTGGCATCACCATCGGCACCAGCACCTTGTGGACCTCCCTCATCAACGTCACCATGGGAGCGCCCACCACTGCACCCAACACGGCCGGGACAGCAACTTTTGCTGCTGTGAGTATCTACATAGCCCGAACAAGCAGGAATAGCAGTGTTTAGTGGAAAACCATAGTTTTCTCTTCCATAGACAATCTTGTAATTATTTTCAAAAATAGTCTATTATTCATTTATCAGGCGTCTGCTCAAAGTACAGTTCTATAGCTAATTCTCTCTCTCACTCAGGGAGCGAGCTCGGGGCTTCAATAAAATTTTTTTATCGATTGTCACACAACCAAATAGTCTGAAAAATGTTTAGTTGATAAGTTCCAGCAAAAACGTTGTCATCTGCGTTAAGAATTAGTCACGGGGAGATTATTCTTATGCTTAGTGCCCTTTGCAACGTCCGTTCTGCACACAGCCATACATCGTGGGCGGCAACGGGTCAGTCGCTCAGTACGGAGTTGTCACATACGCTGTGCCCATCTCCATCACGAGCGGCAAGGGCGTCAAAGTCACGTGCACCGCCGCGCCGCCCGCTGACCGTGAGTAACGCGGCTCGTGGCCAAATAATCTCACGAAATTGTCACTTAATGAGCGCAATTAAGTGAAATATATCCATGTAAATTGTACAATTATTGAAGGATCTCCATTTATGCCCCAAACTCTTACAGCACCGTAATTTTCACCGCATGACTAGTTGATGCCAGCCAAACAAATTATAGTCAAAATAGTGATCGTGTTCCTACCATTATGGAATACAAGGATGATTAGATTTCAAATGAAGCATATACAAAAAATTGTTAAGCGCTAGTACAATAGCAAGGACGACCGTTTACGAGAACTTTTGTCTCGGCAGACAAAATTACTGGCATCATGTGGGGCAACGCGGGGGCTAACATCGCACTTCGCCCCAACCTGAGCGAGGGGATGGTGTGGGACGACACGATGGGCGTCACATCTTGGACATTTTATATCAACTCTACAGGACAAGTCAGTTCCAAAACTTCCAAAACATTATTTTTATTAGGTTTGCTGCTCTATGCCAATGCTAAATAGAACTAAGGGTGAAATATCCGTTTAATAACAATTTAACAAATTATTTAAAAGCTACGATATTATTGAGTCCTGAAACTTGAACTTGAGTAGTATATTTCGCTGCGGAAGTTTGACAGGGGTATAAAAATTCAAGAATTTATAACTCAAGAACTTTTTAATTCAAGAATTTTTAATTCTGGAAATTTTATTTAGAATTTTTAATTCAGGAACTTTTAATACAAGAATTTTATTCCAAGAATTTTAATTCAAGGATTTTTAATTCTAGAATTTTTAATTCAAGAATTTTTAATTCAAGAATTTTTAATTCAAGAAATTTTAATTCAAGAATTTCATTCCAAGAATTTTAATTCAAGGATTTTTAATTCGAGAATTTTTATTTAAAGAATTTTTAATTCAAGACCTTCTAATTCAAGAAATTTTAATTCAGGAAATTTTAATTCAAGAATTTTTATTCCAAGAATTTTTAATTCAAGGAATTTTAATTTAAAAATTTAATTTAAGGTTTTTTAATTCAATAATTTTTATTTAAATAATTTTCAATTCAAGAATTCGCGATAAAGAAAAATTCATGCATTTTTAAATTATGATTAACGCCACATGTTTTTTTTTGGTAAAAAATCAACTTGTTAAGTGCCTTAACATTGACTGAGCTTAATTCTTCAAGATCGTTCATGTTGGAAGAAAAACATGCAACCATGACTCAAAAGATGCAAGATACGTTTAGCAGTTAGGATTATATCTCTCGTAGATACATACATCAGTACCACCAATGCTTAGCTATTAGTAGTTGATCTCACGTAGATACATACATCAGTAACAGCAAAGTTAGCAGTTACATAATAGTAGATCTCACGTAGATACATACTTCAGTAACACCAATGTTTAGCAGTTAGTAGTAGATCTCACGTAGATACATACATCAGTAACACCAATGTTTAGCAGTTAGTAGTAGATCTCACGTAGATACATACACCAGTAACCCCAATGTTCTTATGCATTGGCTTCAGATTACGAGCAGTGTTCCTGCTGACACAGTGGTTCTTGAAGTGTCGGTGCAATATTTGGGATCTACCGCGAGACTTGACGTAACTTTGTCCTGCGGGTCAAAGGTCATACTGACGGGAGCTACAGTAGCGGTGAGTAATGGTTGGGTAATTTTTTAACAGACGTGTGCATGTAATGGAATGGCAATACTAGCGTATAAAAGATACATGTGAGGACTTTGCAGGAGATCGTGCATAACCCCTAAGACTATCGACGGGGAGAAACAGCGATAAACCTCAACGTCCAAGGAGAGGAATCGTAATTTTAATATGAGGCAAAAAAACTATTAGATTTTTTAGACGAAACGAAACCTATGTATTATTTCAACTATAACAGTCTCATAAAATGGTTACAATACTCACAAATCAGCAGTGCCCCTGACGTGTCGCAAACAATGAACAATTTTGTACAGTTTAACGATTTCAAAACATGGGATGACTAAGATTAACCCACAAGGTAGCTAAGGATGGTCAAAGCGGTCAGAGTAGATGCCAAAACATACCCCATACTAACACCAACTAGATATTAGCATTTAGGTTCCTGATAGATGCTTGATAGATACCGAGCTTCATGGAAAATACATGAGAAGAAGAACAATACGAAAATGATCCGTATGCCCACCCACCACACCCGCAACAAGATGAAACAATGACCCGCATGTCCCCTATCACACCCGCAACAAAATGAGACATTAACCCTTATGTTCCACCTATTACACCCGGAAAAGGATGTGATAATGACCCTTATGTCCCACCAAAAAAAAACTCCGATAAATCGATAAGGCAGTTTTAAATTTTAAACACAAGGACGAATTGAATCCATAAACCGCTATCATGTAGTACGTAAATTTAATGGAGTTCTGCAATGACTCCATGTTATGTCGGAGGAATGATAATCGACTGCATCAGTAGCTTCTTATTTCTTCGTGATCATTCGCATTGTGCCGCCAGTTTATTTTGACACAAGAAATCCGCGCGCTAACGCATTTTCGAACAAGTTTTATACTTTTGCTTCCATGTTAAGAGGATTGTAACGAATGCTGTAATTTACTTCCGAAAACTGCTACATAACCTGTTTGGTGCAAAACGATGAACAATTGTGAATATTCCAATTCTTTTCATATATGTGCTGCTATTAATTCTCATCACTCTCTGAACTCTGGACGTTAAAGGCAGGAGGAACGGCAGATGTTTCCGTCACTATGGACCCGATCTATCCACTTGACATAACTTGGTTCAAAGGAGATCAGCAGGCATTGCTGGTCAAACTCACCTTTCCACGTGAGTCGGTATAATCCATCCAGGATTTTATTTTTTTTTTGTACGGCATGAAGGGTGAAGAAGCTCAGCTCAATCTTTGAGTTGGCACTACCTCATTCACCCCAACGCCCCAGACGCTGTACCCTGGATGGTTCTCGTGTCCTGGAAATATATAACTATCCGGTTATATATATAACTATATATAACCTGCGTCAGTACTTCAAAGGGAATACTGGGCTATGAAATAAATGAAGCTAACATTTAGCTGCCTGGCATTGGTTAAAATGCAGGGAGAATTGTATAAAATATTAGAAGTTCCTCCTTAGAATGTTAAAAGCTTTAATTGATAATGTTCGGTCTTAAACTAAAAGAAGCAGCTCGTGTACCTATAACACTCGTGTCTAGAACACTGCGCAGAATAACTGTTCAAACTGTGCAAATTTTATAAGATGTTTAATGAATGGCACAGACTTGTTGCATCATTTGGAATCTCAGTAGTTTTCTAAACCTGTCCTAAGCTTTCGTGGACAAAATATACGTATCTTAACTAATGACGAATCTTTATAATCTCTACTGCAGTTTTTCGATAGCCAATTGCCTTGTAATGCAAACAATCACCAACGTCTTCCTCTTAAAGATAGGTGAACGACCTATAATTCTTAAGCACAATTTTTTTTGTAAACTTACATATTATTTTTGAACATGTGCTGGAGTAGCGGGAGGCAAGGCCTACTCCAACATGACCATCGAGACATCAGGCGACTTCGACGTTACGGCATTTGGAGCACAAATCTGCAAACTGGAGATCTTGCGTTCAGGATTTGGAGTGCCCACTCTTGGAGGCCGAATGGACCTTTTAAATAAGGCCGTTAATTTCTTCGAAATGTAGGTCAAGTTTTGAAAATGATTTCGATTTAGCAACCAATAAAAATCAAACGAAATTGTTCAACTTTATTACCTGTGTTATTAAAGTGTATGCATTTTGGAATTAGAATGATGTATCAGCAGACGTGAATCACAGCAATATTTTTTTTCGTCTACGGAAATTGGTGTTGTTTGAGCACGAAATATTTCAACCATATGACACCTTAAAAATTGTATTTAATTGCCTGTCTGTAATCTTCAGTTCTGCCTCCTCACTCTACAACGACGGAGGCAAGATGTTGGTGGGTGCCATCGCTGGGGTGAACCGCGGAACTGCGGCCGCTGCTGGGGACAACGACGTCGTCCTCAGGATGACGTACTTCCTCCCCAAGAACCAAACTACCATCACAAGTTTGCGCTTTCGGGAATACATTTCATTTAATGGAATGAATTCCATTAATATTAACTAATTAATTTTTAATTGAAATTAATATAATTTAATTCCATTAAATTAATTGCATTCCATTTAATGGAATGCATTAATTTCGGGAATGCATTTCATTTAATGATGATATTAAACGAAGCATAATTTTTATGCTTATTAAGAAAATAAGCTCACATAAAATACGAAAAAGCGTTTATACTCAAATTCAATAGTTGTTGCTAAAATGCCTGGGTGAACATCGATAGACATTTTAATGAAAAATGTTTTCCTTCAGTGGAGTGAAATTTTTCGTTACTCATTTTTATCATTGACCGAAGATTCATCAGCAATACTCCATATATAGATTAAAGTACCACAAATAATGTTTCTCTCTCGAAAAGAGTGCCAATCAAAAGTACAAGACTAAAAGTTATAAATAATTTTTACTTCATATTCTTCGCTTACAGAAAATTAATTACGCTAAAATAATGCAGGTTTAACTTACAACTTGAGCATGGGAATGCTGCTCGACTCTAACTTTGTATGGGCCGGCATGCTTGGCTTCAAAACAAGCGCAGCGGCCCCCACGGTCGCGGCAAGAATCATTTCGAAAATGATTCCTCCTGTGCTGACGACTTACCAAGTTGGTCAGCCTATCCTGGTCAAGGTGTGTGACTGTTTAATATGAAAAAGTTCGAGATAATATAGACATGCATTAGGTCGAAGGATAAAATCAATAACAATAATCTACCAGTACCACAAGCGTTTCGAAATTTATGTTAGTTTACTGTAACTATAAACGAGAGGCCTACGATCAATTTCAGCAATGAAGTACCTACCAATAAATATTCAAGTATCATCACGTGAACAAAATAGAGGAAGTACGTCATTGAGTGAAGTAATTTGCTTAAGTGATAGTCGGGAATGCGATGACTACAACATTCGGCAGGAAAATCTTATGGTAGAGAGCATCGATACGAAAAATTACTCAGATGACTTCAGGAGTTTTAATTCCTGGCAATCGTGTTAATGAACCTTATACACAATAACTGACACAGCGGTCATATCAAAGTTTATCAATTAAAACGAGCTTATGCGGTTGATAACATATGATCAAAATTAGAAAATTAGCCAGTGGTAAAATCGTTGATAAACACGCCATGAAACTTCAGGAAAAATATAATGATTAAATTTGTTCATGTAGTGACCCTAAAACTGGTTACAAACATGTCGGTGCAAGCAAGATAAGGGTCAACCCTATTCGTCGGTGCAGGCAAGATAGGGTTAAACCTATTTAGATGTTCGTGGTATTCCTTAAATCTATGAGATCGCATCGGAGACCCAATAGACTGTTAGCATAGCACAAGTCTCACCCCAAATTTAAACGCTTTCAGAAGTATCTACAAGCCGAATTTAATGCTAAGATTGCGAACTAGGTCTTGGAACTTGCCCTAGCGTTGAACTATTGTTCGGGTGCAGCAATACACAGGGACTAAAAATTTATATATAACAAATTTTTGCTGGGTTCCTCCGTCGAATTCAGTTCAAGCTTCCTCTTAACTAAAATAAAATTTATTTGTGTCAAAATGATTAGCATTGAATTTTTCCGAGTGCGTGAGGCATAACTCGCTGAAATAACCTCGTTACCTCATTATTCAGTTCTACCTGAAGATGGCCCCAGGTAGCGTGGACAAGATCTCGCTAGTCGTCCGTATGGCCAGTAACAGTACGGCGGTGCTGTCACTCTGCCGCATTGTCATCCTGGCCATTGGTAAGATGAAGCAATCTCGCCCTCAAACAGTTTTTCCCTCAGGGGGTTGCACATTATGGGTCTATCCAACTTATGTAAAGTTCCTAGTTCAGTTGTATTCATATTTTAGAGTTTCGCAGAGTAAGACGCATAGGCCTGGGTTCGAAAATCCTGTAGCCTGGAAAATTTTTCCTTTTTTCGCGGGAGCGAACATTTTGTGTATTTGGTTATGAGTATTTTGCCTGTTTAATAATCACTTCGTGGAGCAATAGGAATCAACTTACGATGAATCATTATCTTATTTTTCCCTGAAGTGTAACTACAAATATTTAGTTGTGCCGCAAACGCTGCTTGCGGAGATGTTTCCATTACATTTCATTTTACAATTTCAGCTTGAATGCGTATGAGTTTATTTGCAGCATCATTTTTTTTCGATAAGTGAATGTAAATTAATATAATGCACATATATGACCTTCGTAATAATTATTGCATTCCACGTCTACGTTATCGATATTGCCACATAGCTCGTCTTTCAGGATACATTTATTTCCTGTACAACTTTTATGTGTTTCATGTTCTTAAAAAACGTCTTCGACTCATTTTTTCCATTTTATTAACTTAGAAAACATTTTCCTTGCATTTTGCTAAAAAAAATTTATCATACAATTTCAATACATTTTCCATGCATTATTCCAGAAATTTCCATTCACTGTTTGCATTCAGAATAATTTCCTATTTGCTTCTATAAATTCATATATTTTAACACGTTTCCATTTACTTTTCGTACATTTGTAAATTATTCATTTGTCTTTCTTTTTATCATCAAAATATTATTTTTCAAGTTTGTATTTTGTCTGTTTGGATTTTTAAATTTCTATTCAAATCCCGTATCCACAGTGCTTCATTGATCCGGAAAATGCTAACCCAATCGCTCTAAAACTCGATATTTTTCCTGACTTTCACATGCAAAAGAATTAGGCAAGATGACAGCAAACTTTGTAATCCAATACTTAAATTCAAATGGCTTTCACACTTTTAATTGTAATGCAAAAGAAATTGCATTTTTGCTCGAGAAACATAGTGATATTTATTTTTTATTCTTGAGAGAAGTCAACTTCGGAATAAGCCGATCCATTCGCAAATGAAATTGGCATTCATCTTGAAAAATGTTTCGGTGCATTGACCCCGTGCAGGCAGCACCTATCCGTGCCTGGACCCTGAGCCGTACGGTAAAGAGCTCACCAACTTTGCTCAATTATCAATGAGCCAATCCTTTCGCAAATAAAATTAGCTATTAATCTTTAAAGATGTTTTGGTGCCTTGACGCCGTACAGGGAGCAGTTTTCCGTGCCTGGACCCTGAGCCGTACGGTAAAGAGCTTACCAACTTTACTCAATTATCAATGAGCCGATCCCTTCCCAAATAAAATTAGCTATTAATCTTGAAAGATGTTTTAGTACATTGACGCCGTACAGGGAGCAGTTATCCGTGCCTGGACCCTGACCCGTACGGTAAAGAGCTCACCAACTTTGCTCAGCCGAACACAATCATCCACGACCCTGTCACCTGGGGACTCAAAGCCACCGTAGATTTCGGAGTACTACGCAACGTCGGTCAGTTCCGCTTAAGATCTGTGATAATCAGTCTATTTAATTTGAAGTTATCTCCTCATTCATCAAATAAGATGTACATTTGATGAATAATAGTTTATAATTTATTTAAATAATAGATGGTGGTTCCAAGCAGGTAATTTGTTCGATGTCGAAGCTAATTATTCTTAATTAAATGAAATGTAATTATCAGCCAGCTTTGAACTGTGTCACCTAATCGTAATTATTCTTTTTTTTTCTTTCGTCACCTTACATGCAGGCTACCAAGCGTTCTACGCTAGCGAGTTAGCCGACAGTGATGCCATCGTGTTAGGTGTGTTGGTCAAAGGGTTGGTCGTAGGAACTGATAATGTGACTATCGACCGAATCAGCCTCGGCGGGAAAACATCTTTCAACACTAGTCTGACCATCGCTGCAGCACTATCGCCCGTGAGTTTACACGCGCTGGTTACTAAATCTAATTAATAACGAGATTTATCATTCAATTCTTTACACTCCATTTAACGTACATATCATCTATAAGTGTATTTTGACATAAATGAAGGCTAAATAAGAAACGTAAATCTTTTGGTTAACAGCTAAAAAGAAAACTGGGAAAATAATGTCTGTAATTTGACAGTTGATTGATGAATTTTATTAATTGGTTAATTTTATTATGACTATACCTCACTATGTGAAAAAAAATACAACGTCAATCTAGGCAAAACTTGAATTCTCTACTAAGAAATATTCATATCAAGAATTGCTCTACTACTCGACAGGCGAACACCTTGACCGCGGCTCACTGGGTACCTTTGGACGGAACAGCCGTCGCCTACGATGGCGTAATGAAAATAATCGACCTGGTCTTGGATGTGCCTGTTGGGTATCGACAGCCTCTCATTGTTAAAATCAGCAACGACAATTCACTCAACATGGAGCTGTGCTTCGCTGTTGTCGCTGCAGTGAGCCTTTCTTTCATTGTAGGAAATTTCGGGTGTTAGAATTAAGCCCCGTGCGACATTAAATGCATTACAATTTACGGTGTTGTGAGCTTCCGGTATATTGACGCTGTAGTTTCGCCATGTGCGTAAATTGGCGGCTCCATGTTCGCGTTTCGTTCTATTTCGCCGAGTTAAGTAAACGACTTATTAACAGCCGCTCTATTCTCGGGCAACCGTCAGGCGAGTGTGGGGCGAGCGTACTTGGCATCTGATAACTTTCAGTGCGGAAACGGCTGAACCTTAAATTTAACATTGCGTTAAAATTGCCTACCCTTCTTCCCCCCTTGTAGGTGGGGAAGGGATTCACATTTCGTGAGTTAGAATTTTGACTATGTTTTCTCCGAAAACCTTATAATTCGATCGATCAGGAAATATTTTCTATCAAGTTTTCCTGTGTTCTCTTTTATAAACAGTGAGCCAAGAAAACTCTCCGAACTGTTTCAAATTAGTCCTTAAGCTTCAATTGAAGAAACTGTCCGGTAGTCCAGCGGACTACCGGACAATTTCCAGCTTGAAGTAATTGGCCTATCTTATCAGTTTCACATAATCTTAGTTTTATCACTAAACAGGTGGGAAAGAACGTGCCGTGTGTAATCCCCCATATGATCGTCCCGGTTGTGGCAGTGAAGGCCGCAGGGGAGGAACATACCCTGAACCTCATGGAAACGTGTTACTACGATGTCGCCCCCGGTGACAAAAACGAGAGCACGGTGAGTGTTACGAAGCGAAATCATTACTGACCTCTTTTTCACGTGATACAAATTAATGCTTCTACAGGGTCCGCCATATTTATGGCAACGCAGGTTTTTTGTTATTTCTCAAGGAAACAAACAGGTGCATTGTTTTTTTATTGGATGAGCTAGTTGCCAAGAATTACCTAAACAATTCTCAGACATATATATTTTTTATTGGATGAGCAAGTAGCCAAGAATTACCTAAACAATTCTCAGACATATTTATTCAATATGACCACCCTTTTTTTTAATGACGGCCTCCAATGTACGCGGGAAAGCTCCACAGGAGACATGCAGCATTTCTTGAGGGATCAAGTCCCATTCTCGTGTCAATTTAGACTTCAAACTATCCAAAGAATCATGCGGTGTTCTGCAGACTCTACTATTCAACAGCATGGACCGGATAACTGCCATTATAACATCACCTCCAAAAAAACTAAAGCGTCAACTTTCAAATCACCCCTCCCAACATGACTGCACTGCGCACAATAAAAATTTTACAACACAACGTTCAAACCTGGAACTACAAGAAATTCGCGCTGTCCAATATATACAATAACATCGACCCAGACAGAGAAAGCCGTCGCCAGCATCGCACACCGCATCATCCCCGGTATCACGCATCATCACACGACAGAGAGAGTCGTCCCCAGCATCGCACACCGTATCATCCCCGGTATAAAACCGACACACGAACCTCTTCTAATCCAGACACAATATCAAGCTACCCTGCAACACATATCAACTCATGGCCCTTCGATAGCTCTCAATCGCCAACTCATCGCTCTGCGTACACAACTCCAAACCGCTTACCAACGCCTCCAAACAACAACATGGCAGAAACTCATCACCATCAAACAAAAGCACCTGGTCCCACCGGGATAACCTTCCTGCAACTCAAGAATCTCCCTCGGAACATGATCCAATCAGTGATCATATTTTCAATCAGTGTATATCCGCCGGTTACTTTCCGGATTCACTCAAACACGCAATAATGATATTCATCCCAAAACCAAACACATCACAACATCAAGCAAAGAACTACTGACCAATCTCCCTCCTAGACATTCAAGGCAAGTTACTAGACAAAATACTCAACAACAGACTATACAGCCACCTCCAGACACACAACATACTAAACCCGAGACAACACGGATTCCGAAAATATAGAGGCACACACACCGCACTGGCTACACTTCACGAGACCCTTGCCATACACTCCCCACAAAAGCACAAGATAGACCTCATCCTACGTGACGTTGCCAAAGCTTTCGACCGTGTGTGGCACACCGGCCTAGCCTACAAAATCTCTCAACTCAACCTGCACCCATCATTCACGAAAACACTGATTGATTTCTTCACAGACAGAACAGCTTCCATTAGGATAGGGACATACCTGGCCTCCCACTAGACTTGCAAACGGGAATCCCCCAGGGTGCTTGCCTTTCACCCACGTAATATATAGCTTCTACACACACGATATACCACCTCCAATACCAAACACCGACTATATATTGCCTTTGCAGACGACATCACCCAAATCACTGCAGGAAGATACCCCCATCAACACGCAGCCCATCAAACACAACACGCTATACAACAAATCAACGCATTCGAAAAGAAATGGAAAATAGAGACCAACACAAATAAAATCAAAATTCTACCTATTGGCCGCAAAAACACATCTGACATATTCATCGACGACGAGCATTTCCCATACGCAAATAAAGGCACAGTTCTGGGTTTACAAATAACAACTCACGGATACAATGCACAAATAACAGTACATCAAAACATAGCCCGAAACAACCTACAAAAACTCTACAGATTCGTTAACCTTCCTCCCCGCCTGAAACACAGACTATATATGGCCTTCGTCCGGTCATCACTAATTTACCCCACCATACCGCTACACACTCTATCCCGATCGACAATATCCAAACTCCAAAAAGTACAAAACCGAGCCCTCAGATTCATAACCAACACCCACTGGTATGATTTCATCACCTCTCAAACTCTCCACGATCGATGCAATATACCGACGATCAATACAGTCCTGCACGAACACGCCCGCTACATCTGGCGCAAAATGGAGATCTATGAACCCGAACTTTTCAACCAACTCACCTTTCCACAGAACATCACTTATAGTGAACATCAACGGTTCCAAAGCTCCAAGCTGCTGGCATTGGGCCCAACGCCTCCCCCATCTACAAATAACGATGCATCAAACAACACTAGCATTGGGTCGCCCACCCCACCACTATACACATAAATACACAGCGGACCGTGCTGCACCCGGACGGTAGGTGTAAATGATCACGCCAGGGTGTGGATGGTTCCGAAACATCACACACCGTCTAAGACATCACCAGAACACTAGCATTAGGTCACCCACCCCACCACTAAACACACAAATACACAGCGGACCATGCTGCACCCGGGCGGTAGGTGTTAATGATCACGCCATGGTGTGGATGGTTCAGACAGAGAGCGACACCCGACATGAATATAGCGTGGCCCAGTGGTTAAAGTTCAGAGTGTCAAGATTGGAGCAGAGAGGCGCGGGTTCGATCCCAGCTCTGTGCGCCAGTTTCTGGTCAGAATCGGCAAGGAGGCCGGACGGTTAAACACAGCAGAATAATTTATTGTAGCAGTGCGTTGCGAGTTCGAGACCTCAAAATGCTGTGAATATTCTGCGATGTTAAGAATCGGCGACAGGGCTACGGCCTAATAAACGCTGAAACCGCTATTATTATTATTATGACCTTAGACTAACCCTAGCAGCCCTAAAACACCCGCTATATCCTAAGCGTTCCACCGCCCATCATCGTCATCTTAACCAATATCATCAACGAATGAAGTAAATAAACAAGGATAATAAGCTAACGACTGTAACATGAGAGCGAAGCTCACAACATACTGAGCACATATTACGACATTGCCCATTGAGAACAGCATCATCAATACATCATAAGTAAATATTGAAACACAACCAAGCCCACAGAACTCCACACAACTATCCAAAGCCGTGACGGGTCCCCCCCCCAAACCCTAACAAAACCCCTAAAACCTAAAACCAACCCAATTATGCGCAATGCGCCTTTTCATCTTCTACTGTCCTTTCCATTTCCCCTTCTTCTTTCTGGCCACCCTGCGCCACCTCTTGTTCTTTTCCACTCTTTCATAGTGGCACCGCACACACACACACACACACACACACCCACCGACTCTACTCTCTAAAATAGCCCACACAGAAAAGTCGAGAGGATTCAAATCAGGACTTATTGAGGGCCATTTATTTTTGCTAATGAACGTTGGGATGTGACCCTGAATCCAGTTTTGGGTCATGTTTGAGCCATGTGATGGGGCAGAGTCCTAAATTACCTAAACAATTCTCAGACATATATATTCAATATGACCGCAGACACGCAGCATTTCTTGAGGGATCAAGTCCCATTCTCGTGTCAATTTAGACTTCAAACTATCAAAAGAATCATGCGGTGTTCTGCAGACCCTACTCTCTAAAATAGCCTACACATAAAAGTCGAGAGGATTCAAATCAGGGCTTATTGAGGGCCATTCATTTTTGCTAATGAACGTTGGGATGTGACCCTGAATCCAGTTTTGGGTCATGTTTGAGCCGTGTGATGGGGCATGCAGAGTCTTGTTAAAAACTACACGGTGAGCCGTTGAAGTGTTTACGAGCCCAAGGTAACAACACAGCTTCCAAAATGTCCGAATTTCCGAAATGTATCGCCGACTGCTCAATTTCACTCCTGAGGGGTCAAAAACGAGTGGGGACCTCCCATTGGCGGTTACCGCGGCCCAAACCATCACTGACATGTGATTTTGACGTCGTGTTGCTGTTCTGGTTGCCACAGATCCACCCCGACTCCAAACTCTGTCATTTTGACGGGTAACGCTTCGTTCAATGTAAAATTTTTTCTCATCACTGACCACCAAGTTGGGCAACGTGTAATCCTCAATGAGATCCAGAATGTGCTGGCATCTTTCGAGCCTCATTCATGACGGTTTGTTAGTTCATGCCTTGTTTGCATCTTGTAAGGGGAGGCTTTGAGGTCATCTTTGAGGACTCTACGCGTTGATGTCTGACTGACTCCTGCTTCTGCAGCCAATTTTGCAGTTGAGCGACGAGGGTTTCTCCTCAACTTCTCCCTCGTGTTTTTGACCAATTGTTTTGTTCGGACACTTCGCTTCCTTCCTTAACCAGGTCGATTGCATGTTTCACCAATTTCGTTGAATTTTTTTACCACCTTCCACACAGTTTCACGACGAATTTGGAGCTTTTTGCAATAACTGAATTACTCTCGCCCTTTTCATGAAGGGTAACAATTGCATTTCTATCGACTGCCATAAGTAATAGTAAATTTAGACACCTTAGACTTCTGCATTATAAAATAGATGAATTAGTAGATGATATTAAGCTTCATTATAAAAGAAAAGTCTCCTAGAAACCAATTTATTTTATATAGCAAACATCCGTTGCCATAAATATGGCGGACCATGTAATAGAATGGTCGTCTATTGAGCAGATTATTCGCTAGAATCGGTTTGATTCTCCAAATGAATCTGAGACTTTGCACTTTCACCTAAATATAATTATACGAGGGTCTACGTTCGTTATTGTTTATTGTCTGACCTGAATTAATGGCCTTTATATCATTTTCTGAACATTTTCAAATTTCAGGATTCATATTTATCTTTGTTTGATCCATTTTCACCAGATAAAGATCAGAATGGGCGTACAGTTTACAAAAATTGGTTCATCGGGAACACTAACGGCTGCTATACTTGAAAACGCTACGCCCCATGCAACTTTGGGTTCAATTGCGTACGTTGTTACAAAATCCTCTTCAGCCTTCGACCCCAGCACCATCAACACAACCACAACAGGATTTTCAGTCCAGCTTGTTGATAACACAACTACCAATATGTATCCTGGACAAATAATATTCTCCGGTGTCAACATCGTAATCCCTCCTGCCACCACGGGTTTGCTTGAGGTAAATGTGTGATATACTTGTGAAAATAACATTATTTTTAAGTTCTAAGATGATGATAAACAGAAAATGATTCTCCTACGTGGTCAGATTAGTGTCATGGCTCCTATGACCTTGGGACGAGCGTACGCTACCGTGCACAGCCTGCGCTGGGGCGCCAAGCAAGGCAAGAACATCGGCTGTATGCTCGACATGATCAACTACGACGTGAACTTGCTGCAGAACTCTTCGCTCTCCCAGCCAATGATACACACGTCTCAGACTGACACTTTGGTGGCTCAGCTCGGCTACATCACCAACACTGGTGAGATGTACATACACTCGAAACAATTGTCCCTGTATCACGACAGTTCGGCGACGTAATCACTGCTGTCACCAAGAACCTACGCATCGTTCGTTCTTCAGCACTGGACCTGGCTGTGCTCACGACGTATTTGAACTTCACTGAAGTCCCAAGCTCTTTGATCTTCAGCAAAGCGTGAGCTCGGCAAACTGCCCATGAGGCCAACCTTTCAATCATTAAAATAATAAAATTTTTACCTTTGAAGGTATATTGTTTCAATTACATATGAAAGTTCATGCCTCGGGATCATTTGCCAGGAGAAAAACTTGTCAGCAAGATACAGAGCTTCATTATAGTTAATCCAAATTATTGCCTGTAACATTTACTCGCATAATTAATCGCTAATAATAATCTCAAGGTAACAGACGGCTCAGAAGATCAACTCGATTCAACACATGATGCCTGGCAGCAAATTGTATCACAGCACCAAAGTTATTTCGAATATCAATAGCCGAGCGTCTAAATTGCAATCCTATATGCTGACAATTATTTATGGTTTAATTTTCATTTCAGTGCAAATCCACAACTGAAAATGACCTTCCGCGTGTCTCATGTGATGAATTCTTCGCGACAAGAGTTGAACGGAGCAATTGTTCGGGTGCTGCTACCGAAGCCAGTCGAGTTCGACAATCTGACGGACACTTACAGTAGCAACATCACCGCAAACTTCACCAACAACCACTATCTGGACTTTGCTGTGAGTTAATAATCAGCTAATTGCTTTATCATATCATAGCTTTATATTTTACTATCAGCTAAACACGGTGTTGCCAGAGACTTATTCGAGCTTTGTCCCACCTCTGTCTGGTTGAGATTCAAAAGAACCGCGGCCTTCCTTTTTCCGGTTATAAATTGTTCGAGCTTTGTAAGACCGTTGTCCAATCTTAATTATAGATTCGTCCGAGCTTGCTTCGCCCCTAATTGGCCAGGGATGGATACCGCCAGATTTATCACCAATCCCGCCTTTCAGAATCTTGTCATCATCAATCAAGTTAATAATATTGAAAGTGACGATGTTAATTAAAGCAAGATCCGTTTAATGTTGGATGACACTGCCACCAAAAATAAAACTTTGTTCCCAGGTAGTATCCCGACTCGATAAGGATTATGGATACGCGCTCGATCAATTTCTACATATTTCCAGCGCCAGACTCTGGCCGCGCGAACACACTTCCATAAATACATGATTGATAGCGTAACTGGTCAGAACGTTCGATTGAACCGAAACGAACGAAGTTGGTCAGAACGTTCGTTGCTTTCTTCTGCAATATTAGTTACGGTAGTATTAAAGCGACATTTACGCTTGTTTAATGTATTGATTTCAGTTGGATGCATGCTGACAACGTTTAATCATTAATTTTTAGGTATTTTATTGTCTTATTTGCTCTTAAGCTAAGCATTATTTGTATGTTTCATTCACGAGTATAGAGACTTTTAAGTTCTTATCAAAAGGGCCACTCGTACATTACCTTCTTTCTTAGATCTCGAACCTGTTCTTCACTGACTACCTGGAGATGAACGTGACGGTGAGCATCGACCCCTTCAATACAATGATCAAAGGACTGGGACTGTTAGATGCCGCTGCCTTGGTACGCATCGTATGTACCACGTTCGCGGATGCGGTGCCCAAGTACTGCGGCACCACTGCCGTACTCCCCTTCCAGATCGACGGCACAGGTAAGAGTCTCCAAGAGAGTCGTCATTTTGTTAGGACTGATATTCACTTCAAAAACATTAAATTAAACATTAAATTAAACTGGTTCGGTTACCAAAAAATTTTAAATGCAGACTTCATCATTTTATTTATAATTTGTTTTTCTTTTCCCTTCAACAAAATACATGCAGAGCAGTAACATTTGCAAAGTAATATACATTTATAATAAATCCGCTCCTAAAAACTTTTAGATTTTTTGCCTTCCTGAGGCGCATTTCTAATCACTTCAGAATGTTCCGACGATCTTGGCATGGACAGCTTCCTGGACTGTCAGTTCTCAGCCTCAACCGCCATCAGCGCAGATACGGGTCCAGCGTATGCGAAAATTGCAGCAACTGGTAAGTAAAGTTGAAATAAACCAAATTGCAATACATGAGCAGTTCAATGTTCAAAGATTTAAATTTAGTTATAAAACTTCAAATTTCACAGTGCCAGATTTGATTTAAAGTGTAGGAAAGTTGAATAAGAACGTCATGCATGAATTCATGGAATTCTGACTGTGGAAAGTACTTGAAATAATCGGAAAACTTTATTTCTATCGAATAAATTCATTGTGACAAATCTTCCTCTCAGGCTAAGATCTCAGATGAGATGCACATCAAGAGACTTTTAAGGTTCTGTGTTATAATCCTTCAATTCTGGAATACTTTCTACTGTCGTATTTAATACTATTCATTTTTTATTTTTTAAATGAAAAGTTCAAACGTAAATTAAATTGATAATTACTTTTTATTATTTAAGTTAGTTATTTTTCATATGAATTCTACTTTAAGTTAATGTTATACCGTCTATTGCAGGCTGGTCCCCGGTGGTGCGCTCGGGATTCGGTTGGGGCCATCACATTACAATAGATTTCTTGCAGAAGACGCGCGTCACGAGAATTACTTTCAGTTCGAGCTCCGTCAAAATTACGCAGTTCAAAATCCAATATTCAAACAATGGAGACAATTTCATCTCACCTTGCGACGTAAGAAAACTTCCTATGAATGAGGCTCATACAAATTTCCTATGAATTTAATAGTATCCAATATTACAAAGTTAATTTGTGTTCTGTAGTTGTTTTAGGTTTTTTGTCCGCACACTCTAGTATTGAGGCAGTCGAGGTCACGTACGTGAGTGGGAGGCTAGAATTAAATGGAAAGAGGTGAAGAAAAGAATAAAGCTCGGCCATTAAGCAACCGCCTAGTGTAGCAGTCCCACTAAGATGAGACGAGGAGAGCTGTGAGGAAAGAGTGAGAGGTGCTGGGTGGATTGGATAGTAAACCTTCAATCAAGCTACGTATATTCGGGACATGGACATCGCCCTACCTTAGATATGAACTGACAGCAGGGCAGGGCACAAGTCTCCCCCTCCTCAACCCGAATCAAACCCCACACACCTACAACAAACCCAATCATGCGCTTAGCGCCTTTTTCATCAAATACCCTCTTTTCAATTTCTCCTTTCTCTTTCTGTAGCTACTCTGTGCCACCCTTTTTCCCTTTCTCACTGTCCTATATAGGCACCGCACCACCCACAGTGCCTCGGATCTACCCAGGCTGTAAAAGTGGGAGGAAACAGAACAGAGCTTCTCTACTTCGTTATTCTTAGTAAGATCCTCTATGCAGTGCGTTTGGTTACTTCCCTGCGGATGACCAACATGTTCTCCTTTTCAACGTGGGCTGTCCTCGTCATGGCCTATTTTCAAAAATATTCCATTCAGAAATATTTAAACTAAGTTTGATCAACTACCAAATAATGGCTTAGCAGTGAAAATAAATTAAAGGCTACCAAATCCAGTTTGTTGAACTAAATCATCAATCTAAATTTTACTTGTAAATTTTCCTCGACAGACCGTGATATCGGTCACCACCGACGACACCCTCCTACCGCCAGCTTGTCGCTTCGAGGCTCGCTTCGGCCGCCTCATCATCGTCGACAGCACGCCCAGCGATGAGGCCTTTGTAGTGAAGTGAGGCGTAAATTCTATTATAATAGTCATAATTTTTCTTTACCTGTCACCTTTTATATCAAAATTTCCGTACAAAATCTCTCGGTTTTTCTTTCACATAATGTTGACCATATTTTTATGAAAAGCAATCAAGCTGAACACAAATACTCGAATTTTCATTGTTGGGAGGGCTCAAATTTTTATCTTCGTCAAATTTTTTTTATGTTTGCACTCTGTCAGATTCAAATGGTATGGTTGCGCCTTGGAGACGGTAGCCGATATCTGCTCGTCTCTACCAACCACTTACTCAGATTCGCCAGGCTGGCGACAAATATCACACGACACCGTAAATCAAGTTTTCTACTACTGTGACTACAGCCCCCAAGACAAGCAATCTCTCTGCTTCTCTTCCACCGATGCCGGGGCAACCTGGAATGGTGGGTGTAAGGTCCCTCGTGACGCCTTGGTACACGTGAGTGCGTATAAGTGTTATATGCCGGAAGTTAAGCTGTAGGATGATGACCGACAATCAAAATAAAAAACATTAGAACAAAAAGCACCCGGTCCAACTGGCCTCATTTTATCACTGAATATACTCTCTCAAAACCTGTTGCAATTATTACTGACGCCAAGTGAATTGATCGCGGCTCATTTTTTCAGTACCGTGATCCATCTCCCTAGCCTCTCTGATTAGTAGTTACCTACCGTAAGTGCATTTCCCTACAAACCATGGTAGCTTTGTTCTTACTGTGAACCTATTCCAATATTTTATTGCATATATGGCTGCTCCGTTATTGTATACCTGCATATTTCGCTCCTTCCACTCCCTCCAATTTCATGCCCCTTCCTTTTTATTCCAAGCCCTACTGGCATGTTCCAGAGATCTCAATTTTCTGAGTCTTGCGCGACTTTATTTCCTGCTCTCTTATAACCGCATCCTATCATAATCGAAATACCATCATTCTTTTGTCTCCGTCATTCTCATCACAATAAATTTCTGCTCAAGTCGTGAGACCATGATTATAAAATGTAAAACACGAAATTGAAACAATCGTAAAAAGCATAATATAAATGAGTAGGATAGAAATTATCATAAGATAAAATTCGAATACAAATGATAGTGGAAAAGGTTGAAATATATTCTTTTAACGCGATATACAAATGTTAATTACTAATCCGTAAATTTTGTAAATATTTTACGTAGAAGCGAGACCCTCATGTCCTGTCTCATGCATGGGTCTTTCTTCACGCATTCTTTATGGGTCTCTCGTATCTCTCTGCCTTTTAACAAACCCCTCGCGAAAACTCAGAAAGCCAAATTATGCGCCAATTGCGCTTTTTTGCCGCTTGCAATATTTTTAGTCTCCTTCCTCTTCACTGGCCACCCTGTGCCACCTCTTCCTTTTTCCCCACGTTTCCTATCGACATCATCACAGGGAGTGCAGAAGAAACTGTAGCCGTGTAAGGATCTGGGAAATATTGGATGATAATTCAAAGAATTAGTATGGCGATTGTTCGGGAATGAGTTCTCGTCTCTAAAATTCCGAATTTACCTGAAACGCTGAGGGTTGACAAAATTCTTAAAATTGTCGAACTTCGGCTACTTAGGCTAATTATATATAGTTCGTATTTAGCATTTTCATTCTGATTATTGTTGATTAATCTGTAGATTTTTTCCCATACAAATTTAAAGGAGACATTCCAGCTACTTGTGATGTATCATTGGGTCTTTGGACTGAGCTTTCATGTTACTGTATGCTTCTCGTACAAAGATTATCTCCAAATAATAAATGGACAACGCCTTACTTTCCAACCTGTTATTCTCCAACAGAACTGCCGCCATTCATCAACGTCCTGATTGGAGAACAAGACGGCATTTTCTACGCAAGTGACGCTCAAGGAATATCGACGGTCTCCAGCACCGACGGAGTGAGCTGGTTTGTTACAGACGCAACTTTTGCCGCAGGCCTGAACATCATCGCTAAGAGTGTTCCCGGCAACGCTAACCCCTTCACTGCCGTGACCGATGGAGAGATGACTGGTTTGTAGATAGTTGGAATGGTGTTCTGTTGAACTTATTGGTGGTGAACTAATTTGCAGCTGAGAATAGAAAATACGTATTGGCATAAGCTCCGTAAGACCGATTTCGTTATAGCACCCGATTTCGATAGTTTATCAATTTCGCACATGCATTATCATTTAGTGGAATCTCGGCATCTAATACTATTATACTCTGCATCCAATACATAAATTTATAGTAATATTCGTACATACTGTAATTTCTGCTACGCCCCATATATTTAATCTCTTTGAAAAAATTCTTATTGCCGCCCCAAAATTTCAGGAATTCGTTTGTATTTTGCAGCGGATTTCACAGGCATCATGAGCGGAGGTGCCTACGTCATCAAGTGGGAAAGATGCTGCAGCTAAACTATGCAAATTAATTAGTAGAGATTCTGATTTGTGGCATGAACATTCTTCATTACAAATTGTACTTAAGTTTTGGCAATTATATTATATCTGCAGTGATAGTAATAGCTAAAATATATGAAATGTCTCATGAACAATATCTCGAATCAAAATCTTCCACGTGAACGATGCATGATAGATTGACTTGGATTACGCCCTTGAAAAATATCTTTAAATCATTAATAATAATGGGGAAGAGTTGATTACAACTATACGCTTCTCATCCCTAAAAGATTTGAGCATCTAGATTAAAAAATTCTATTCAATATACGCTTGATCCTGCTCTTCAATATTACTGTACGTCCCAGTAGAAAGTTTAATAAATTTGCTCTCGTGTGTCTGGAGCTTGTTATGCACACCTCGAAACTTAAAACAGAATAATGGTATTTATGAAAAAAAGTATTCTTTTTTATAGCATGAACCAACGTGGTTAACTACGCAAAAATTCTTACGTAATAAATTTGGAGTGTAAAAGAAATTCAAAGCGTAAAGAACTTCGTATTTACTAAAGTTATTCACCTTTCCCGAGCATTTATTGATGCGCCGTAATCACAGCACATCAATAGTTGTGTGACGTGACATTCACCTTCGCCCGTTAATTCTCATTATATTCCTATTATTTTCCGATGTGGTTTTATTTTCATCTGTACCGCTGAATTTCTTGCATAATTCGTCGGTTTATGAGCAACATTGCATTTTTTAACGTTACGTAGCTCCTATAAACTATGCAAGAAGATAGTCTCACGATCAGTTGTCCAAAACTTGACAATTTTTAATGAATTCTATGACCACTCAAAGGAAAATCAGTCGTTTCTAAAGAATCGGCATAATTCTATTCAAGTTAAAATATTATGATGTCTCGTACTTTTTGTTTACCTTATTGTAATTTGATAAATATTAAAACGCTTCTTAGAAACAAATTGGCGGCAGTCATGAGATTTATTGATTATTCAATGATGATTTGATTCATGATTGATTTTATTTTAAAGACTGGCAGGCGATGGAAGGATGAGGTGGCTTCGTAAATAGGACAGTTCGGCAATTGGCTACGATTCATACCATCTAAAGGAACAAAATTCATTAATACAGCGTGACCCCAAAAAAGTTGCTAAAAATAAAGGCTTATAACTCGAAAATTATTAAACGTTGAAAGATGAAATAAAAACCACATGAAAGAGTATAACTTCAAGTTTTATTTGGTATCCATGTTACCAAAGTTCTTTATATATTTCATAGTTAAAACTCATTATTTTTTTAAGATCAAGATTCCCCTTAAAATGCAGCTGAATTCTGAGCAACAAGTTTTCATTGTCGAACAATTTTACGTGAAAACTTTACCAACCAAAATAAAGAGAGGTTATTCCACCAAATACAGACAAGATGTTAGTCTCAACACAATCAAGAAGTGGATACGTCAGGAAAAGATAAAAGAATGATCCTGAAAAAAACAAAGGCCATTATGGACAGCGAAGAACTGGGAGATCAGAAGAAAACATTGCCATGATTGAAGAAAGAATCAATGAATCGCCTTTGGATTTCTTCCTATGGAGTTACGTGAAAGAAATAGTATTCAGTTCAAGACCAAGCAGCATTGACAATCTAAAGATAGCAATTCGTTCGTAAAGCTCTCGCACTTATTGACCAGGGCCTATACTTTCAAAAAAAGTTAAGAGATCGTAAATTCATCAGCCAATCATTCACAGCCTTTCAAGCAAAATCCACCAATCATAGACAAGAAAATAGAGCGTAAGTACTAACGTTCACTTAGCGAGCTTTGAAAGTATCCACCAATCATAGACAAGAAAATAGAGCGTAAGTACTTACGTTCGCTTAGCAAGTTTTGAAAGTATGGCCCCAGGATACCTTGTCTACAGTAACCGCAAATTTTGAAAAAAGTATTGAGCTGTGTATTCAACAGCGAGGAGGTCATTTTGAACATTTTTTGTAATCTGAATAAAATTTGAAATTATGCTTTTTCAGGTGGTTTTATTTCATCTTTCTACGTTTTAATACTTTTCGAGTTATAAGCCTTTACTTTCACCAACTTTTTTGGGGTCACCCTGTACTACGTAAGTTTAGACAAAATACTCAGCTTGTTACAAGATATCCATTTTCCACCACGTTCCCCTTATAACTTCAAGGATCACTCGGCGTAAGCGTTTCACATTACAGAAGGAGTCTCTGAAGTAAATTGTTATCGCAAACATCTCGGCGCGAGCGCCTAACACAACACAGGACTCAGACGAGGCTCTCGCCAAGCTTTGCATCAGTGCGTGTGCGGCCGTGGTATAAGGAAGTTATATGTGATGGCCGCGCCTGGCTTTCGCAGAGAACTTGGTGTCATGCAGCGATTTGTCGTTGATTCCAGTTAAAGTAAAATTAGTTTAATTTCAAGTAAAACCTAAGTATTTTCAGAAAGAAAAAGTTGCAGAGAACGATTAGCTGAACAAGATTGTTCAGTTTTATCTGTCGGGCTCTGATATACATTATATTCCAACGTTGATAATTTATTATACTGAGATTTATTTCAGTGCGCATACAAGTTTAAAATGATTGTAGGTCGAAGGAATCAATCCACGGACAAATGAGGGGGTTTCAAACGAAACAACATTCATCAGAACCAAACCATCCCAATTAATAGAGCATTTTGTTGTGTCGTTTATATGCGCGGGGCATATGCGCGTTTATATGCGCGCCACAGAAACTTACTTATTTGAAAGGTCAATAAAAACAAAAGTATTTCAGTTATTGTTTTATATTTTTTTCGAGAAAACAGTATCCCAAAATTTTTTTTCATACAGTTTTGAAAATTAAATCTCATAAATGACGGCCTCCATTGCGCATAAACTAATGAAGTCGCTTTTTTCATAATGGTACAGTGTTTCAGGCTATATCACAGAAAACTACAACTTCATGAATATATGTATCAATTCTCAGTTCTCTCATTACAATAAATGTTGGAATTATAAAAAAGACAGCCATTTATCTTTATGCTTATTGATTTGATAGTATTCAAAGACTGTATTGTTTTCTCATATGTAGTAATTAATTTACCGTACGTTGTTTGGCTTTTTAAACTATTAGCAGCGAGCGAAGTATCAGAACTGAACTCGTTTATCAACAGACAGAGCGTCCTCCGTGATTCACGCAAGTAAAACGGAAATAAACAGTCAACAATCCGGCTATTATCAGCCTTCATTTAAACTCTAATTTAAGGGACTAAAATTATTGGGTGTGGTATAGTTGAATAAAATTTAAAAAATTGGAGAAGAGCACCGAAATGAAGCTTCTCTGTTAAACTTGTTAAATAAAGTTGATTCCAGTTAAATACCAAATTTTTTCTTATGTTACCTTGGCGAATTTTTTAAGAATGATTTGAAACTTCAGAGGATTTTTGCAGTTAATTAGCTTTTCACATTTCATTATCAACGGGAGATAAACTAATTCCAATTGTACAGCCTTTTCCTGAAATATGCGTGTGATAAGGTCGGTTTGCCGGAATAGACGCTGAGAATCTTGAAACACAAACAATTTCACTGAAAATTAAGAAAAAATAACATTTGATTGTTAAATTTAAAAAATATACATACTTTTCTCATCAAACACCATCTGTTAGTTCCTGTTGGCGCAGTAACTCAGTTATACTCGCCAATCAACGTCTTTGGACCTGTCAAGCGTTAAACTAATTTCTTCAATTCATCAGGTCATCGGGTAGTTTGCATTTATAATTTGATTTCGTCTCAAATAAAGGACGTTTTATATATCTATGTTTCAATATATATATATATAGTTTCAATGGCAGAGTAAAGGCTTTTTTCATTAGTAAGAAAAACAATCAACAGTTAGAAATATACGTTGCTCAGGTATATATTTATTCTAAAATCTTGCATTTATGACTTCTCACGATTAATCTCACTCAGAATTTTAATTAATGTTTTTTGTATGTAATTTCTTATGTATTTTTTATAGTAATTCATCCCTTAGATATTGGGTAATAAATTTACCATTGATATAATTTTCGTGCTGCTCTTATATGGCCGTCTACTATACATTATTTGCTATGACATTCCATCTCTTGTCTGCTGATAATAATGCTCGTTATTCTGTGATTATCGTTATTATGATCTGAAGCGAGCAACCATCTCGTTATCAGCACAGGCAAGAAATTTGGCATCAAACATGATGGCTTCCAGGATGCAATTTTTCACCTTCCTCCTATTGATCCACTTGATATTTCTTGAGCAATCCGGAGCTGTCATCACTGGCCCTGAACAGATACCATCTTACAACATCACAAGCATCTTTTTCCGGGAGTTGGCGGCCCTGACGGCTCAAGAGTCCTTCTCGAATTTTAGTTCATTTGAGTCTGAGGAACAACTCAAAATGTTGCACCGCGCGTTCAGCGAGAACAGCGTCAATGCATCCACGAACACGACGCACGATCGCGAGGGCGACGTTCAACACCAGGTGATGATATTTTATTCGTTGAGTAATTCAATTTATTTCATGATTCTTATTATTTTACTTGTGAAAACTTCATTAAGAAAATCCTAAAAATACCTCTGCAATTTTTAATAAAGTTGATAAAACAAGAAATAATCAGCAGCCAATTGGACGTTAAATTAATTCTGCTGGTATTCTAAACCTGATCCCTCATCGTCGGCACAGCTCAGCGCGGAATGTTTAATGTAAACTGCCAGCAATAAGAGCTTCCGTAATAAGCAAACTAATTATTCTCCCGACCCTTCGGGACCTTGTAGGTTTAGTATCATGAAAACCTTCGCATTACGACTGCTCCGATGCTAATGTTTACTTAAAATATCAAGTCCTTACATAGGCAGATAAAATTTAATTTTATTAAAGAGTCGAATATCCAAACATTTCAAATGAAATTTGAATGGAAACTCTATTCTATAACAGAGAAATTGAGCGAGTCTGTCGTTAGTAAAAGTCATTTGATATTATTACTACTATTACGAGTCATTTGATATTATTACTAAAATGCAGCGTTGAGGTTATTGTCATTACGGGACTCTTTATTGTAGGCATTATCCTGCTGGTCCTGCTACCCAAGCAGCATCACCAGCACGTGGTTTAAAATGCGAGAGAGAATTTGAACAAATTTCCTAATCATGGAAGCCAACTTCAGTATTTTTAAACCAGTAGTGCTGAACGGGTAGGTAATGAGTTTGAAGAATAATCTACGACTTTGGATCTTACCCGAAAATGTAATATTTATGTAAAACCAGCAGATACGTTACCCGACCTCGATAGTCGATGTAAAATTTTTTATCCCCTATCCCATTAACAGGAATAGGCAAAATGTATGTTAATTAAAGAGAGGCCCGTTCAAACCCAGATTTAATTAAGAACACAAAAATTCCATTCGGCTCTCATTTCATACATCAAAAAATTAAATTTATATTATACATTCAATCATTCCAAGTAAAATCGTGACACGATTTAAAATCCTTCGGGATCGTGGATACGACCCCGAACAACTGGGCGCCATACGCAAAGAATACCACAAATTTGGACCGAAAAATTTAATACCTAATCAAATATAATTTGATGAGCCATGCAATTGCTCATAAGAAAGAATCATTTTGCGCGAGTACGTGTGCGTACTCGTCACGTGTGCGCATTCATGTTCCAGTAGAAGAGAAATGTGCGATAAGACTCTGAAGCATCGAATCGCGATGTCCCGCACATAAAATCATAAAATAGATTAATGGATAGATTAGATTAATTAAAAGCCGCCTTTTAAGCGCAAAAAATCACACAATTGAAAGAAAAACTGCCCATGTTTCCTTGTAATTGTTTTTCACGCGCAAGAGATAACTGCCCCAGATCTGTTTTTCGATGATTGTCAATTATTTCGATAAATAATCAAATTTGATGTGATAAATGTTGTCTCAAATTTCAGTAAAAAAAATTTCTGCGGTCGCTCGCTATGTAATTTTGCATTGAATTAATTCAAAAAGACCGAGGCAAGATCTTGCTCATATTCTGAGCAAGAAATGAATGCTTAAATCATTACGACATCTGTCTAACCGCTGGAAGAAGGCGGTCGCTCATTAGTGGTTTTCATGGTGGCTGCACCGACATACATATTAATTAACACAAAATAAATAAGCGATGGAATTGTGGTGTGGTGATGACACGTCTGTATCTGTGACCTATGATTAACGCAATTTTGGATTAAATTGGAGTTGGCATTCTAGGAAAATTGTCACAACATTTCATCAAAAGCTTTATTGCAAAAAAGTTAATTTAGATATCATTCAAATTTCAAAACGAAAAACTTTTTGCTATTTATCTTTGAGCATCATTATTGCAACAAAACGTTCTCGCACTTGTGAATAGTGTGTACCGTGTTTGCGAAAATTATACTGAGATGAGCTAGAAATTTCACTAGTTAGAAGAAGAATGTACCTCTTAGAATTAAACTGACGTTGCAAAACAATACGGCAGTGGCATGATACGCCTTTCTGATTTAAGACGTGGTAATGGAGGAAGATCCTTTAAAAAAATCTCTCATATCGTAAGTTTCTGCAAACTTTCAGCGCAGATCTTTTATGGTATACGAAGTTAGTTAAAGTTCTCGTACTTCGCGTCAACTTTCTCCTTAGTTAAAAGTGCGTCAGAGAAAATCATGGATAAATAAACAACTCAAAAAGTACGGGAATAGAATAAGCATTCCAGTAATTGAATAAACATCCCTGACTATCACCGTGGGGAAGAGAGACTGGCGAGCGTTGATGCTAGACATCGCAATAATTTTTACTGATCACATTTACCACAAATAAAACATATTATAAAACGATATTCTCACGATAAGTTTGATCTTAGACTGGCAAATTTTTATTAATGATAAATAATGAAAAATATTTTTGCGTGTAGTACTGCAACACTTCCTCGTGGACGACGTTCCACGCACGCTACCACGCAGTGCACGGCTGGACGACACTCGTCATCTGCCTCTTCGGGTCCGTCGCTAACGTCATGAACATCGTCGTCCTGACCAGGAGGACCATGTTGTCCCCGACCAACAGCCTCCTCACGGGGCTCGCCGTCACCGACCTTCTGGTCATGGTGGGTCGTGGTTACCAACCATGTGCAGGTTATTGGTTGTTCACTGCGCGCCGGCTTCTGGTCATGGTGGGTCGTGGTTACCAACCATGTGCAGGTTATTGGTTGTTCACTGCGCGCCGGCTCCTGGTCATGGTGGGTTGTGGTTACCAACCATGTGTAGGTTATTGGTTGTTCACTGCGCGCCGACCTTCTGGTCATGGTGGGTCGTGGTTACCAACCATGCGCAGGTTATTGGTCATTTTTTATTTGTTTTTCTTTTAGGTTATTTTTTCTTTATTTTTTCAGCAAATATTGTTCTTTTCAGTAAATATTATTGAAAGCAAGAATTTTCACATTCATGATGTGTTAATAACAGCTGTCGTGAGTCTTTTTTCACATGTTTCTCCATTTTTTGAAGATGCACAAGGATTCTAACGGCTTGAAATAATGAGACGATTAAGATTCGCAGCAACAAATGAAAACTATGATGCCAATAATGGTGTCACAACGATTTTTCATATATCATACTAACAGACAATTTGACATATTTTGTTCAGGTGGACTATGTTCCATTCTGCATCCATCAGTATCTATGGAAGGACCGCTCTATGGAGGAACGCTACTCATTCGGTTGGGCGGTGCTGGTCTTATTCCACGCGCACTTCTCGCAAGTCTTTCACTTCACGTCAGTTCTGCTCACCGTCACGCTCGCCGTGTGGCGCTACTGCGCCGTGGCATTCCCGATCCGCAACGCCGAGTGGTGCACGATGGCAAGAGCCAAGTGTGCCATACTGGCCACGCTGCTGTGTTCGGTCGCCTGCAATATTCCGTGTTATTTAAATTATTCCATTCACGAGAAAAATATTCAAAATCACACTTTGTACATTGTTGGATTTAGTGATCTGGCTCTAAATCACGGACTTAAAGACGTAAATTTTTTTATTTACTCCGTCGTTCTAAAGCTATTACCGTGCCTGGCTCTTAGTATTCTGTCTTTAGCTTTAATGGACGAGCTATTACTCGCCGGCCGGCGAAGAGCGGCCATCATGAGCCGAAACAATGACAGCAGCCGTACGGTTGGGGCGGGACGGCAGGCTGAGCGAGTGAACATAATGTTGATGTCCATTTTGGTGCTCTTCCTGCTATCAGAAGTTCCATTAGCCACCCTGGGGCTTCTCTCGGTCATACCAAACGCAGGCTTCTTCCAGTGCTATAACCTACTAGGCGACATCATGGAGATGCTAGTGCTCTTCAACAGCGCAGTTAACTTCATCCTCTACTGCTCCATGAGTCAGCAGTTCCGCACCACCTTCAAGAAAGTTTGTGCTGAATGCGGGGGGCAAAGATGTCGGCCTCGGCAAGATAATAACCATAATCCTTCGCGAATGATTGCTAAGTCCACAAACATATAAAACAATTGCACAGTCCCCAATTCTGCCGTGTAAAATTATGTGAACTGATATGGATCTAACATGTATCACGATTGCATACTGTTGCAGTAAAATGCACAACTTGTCAAACAATTTCTCACTCTAACCGTAACAATTTGGCATGTTCATCTTGTCTTTAAAAAAAATGTTACAGATTGCTACATTGATCAGTGTTAGGGAAAATGATCTTTGTATGAATTAACTGTATGAAAAGTAGCGTTATATTTTTACATTCCCAGCGTTATAGCATTACACCCTTATTATCGATATCCGTCAAATATCATCGTAAGTTTAAGTCTGCGAGTTGTAGTTCCATAACAAATGTATTGCGAAGATATTTTTTCTTTTATTCTCTCTCTTCTTCACACCCTCTTTCATCGGCATCAATGCAGACTATCATCTAAAGCGTTCACACGATCAATAACTGACAACGACTAAGACTTATTTCTTCATCATTCATCCAAGTCAGACTTCTCGACAAGTGCGTAGTGGCTGGTCACGGAAGTGTGCAGAGGCTGGGCCACAGACGTGTGTGCAGAGGCTGGGCCACAGACGTGTGTGCAGAGACTGTGCCAATGTGTGCAGAGGCTGTGCCACAGACGTGTTTGCAGAGGCTGTGCCACAGACATGTGTGCAGAGGCTGTGTCACAGACAAGTGTGAAGAGACTGTGCCACAGACGTGTGTGCAGAGGCTGTGTCACTGACGTGTGTGCAGGGGCTGTGCCACAGACGTGTGTGCAGAGGCTGTGTCACTGACGTGTGTGCAGAGACTGTGTCACAGAGGTGTGCAGAAGGTGCACCATAAACTTGTGTTTGGGGTCGTATCAAAAGCGGTCGTTAAATAGTATATTTATAAATTAGAGGTCATTATTCTGACGCATCTGGGGGGAAGTTTATAACTTAAAATATGAAGCAACACAAGTAGATGCGCACGCATGTTGCCACGGTAACAAGCTATGAAATCATTCTGCTCTTTTAATCATAAACTCTGACCAAAAATTGTAACAGTTTTATCACTGTTCATTATTAATTATTAGTAACAATTCATTATTAATGGAGTCTTCATTATTACTAAATTATTAATTCTTCTACTTATTAATGGAGTCATATTAATGCACAGTCCAAACATCAATTATAATTAGATTAACCCTCCCTCTTGAGGCTTTAGAAATGAGAAGATAAAGTTATGCAGCATATTTCGGGGTTTTTACCTTGGTTTTGATTTTCAGCGATAAAGCCTTTCAAATGCGCATCAGCAAATTGAAATAAAACGAACACGGCTTCGGAGTTTTTCCTATATATTACTATCGTGCTTCGTATTACAGTCATATAAATACAGTAAAACAAATACGAGAAGAAGCGCAACGTATAATAATTCCGTAGAAAAAAATTAGTAAAATTCCGTAAAATGAGTTCACCTTTCGAAAAACATCCACCACCTAAAGCAACAGAAAAAAAATTGTTAATAAGGCTTTTGATTATTTTCAGGGGAGAAAAATGGAATTTGAAATGAAAATCCCAATTTATTAGTCTTTTAAAATCAGCTTTTGGAGATCAGGACACCAGGTGTTGACAGCTACCAAGACTCATGATTGTTTTCCTCGAAACCAAATCCTAACCAACTGAAGTGTTGAGGCTCAGACAAAGTTTTGACATCGTCAAGAAGTTAAACAAACAATACGTGGCGTAAGCTGCAGTTTGACGAGGATCGATGACGAATGTTTTTCCGTTAGAAAACTTTTTCGCTCTTTAGATTTCTGGGATGAATTCTCTTTTGTATTAATTCGCCGTCATTACTTGGTCTTGTATCTTCAGTGGTGTCATTTAATCAAACTGAATCAATAGCTTAATCAATAGCAATAGCATAATCCACCAATCATAGACAAGAAAATAGAGCGTAAGTACTTACGCTAACTTAGCGAGTTTTGAAAGTATGGCCCCAGGTCCATAATATGACCTCTATTCGACAAATCTCGTATTATTATGTCTATATCTCACGATAATTAATATTTGCCAAGCACTTGATCTGCCACAGCCGCTGTATATACGCAAGGACTTCGTTGTGATAGTGAACGGCCGGGAGGCCCTCAAGCTCAGATATTATCTGGGGAAATCATTTCCTTTCTTTGGTCAAACACAATCATTCCTGCTGTTAAATTCTAACTTTTTTAGTTTCACGCTTCATCCGTTTGCAGTAATTTGGAATATAAACTGTGAATGCAACAAAACTGAGCTGTAGTCCGAAGATACTACAGTTCAAATTATCATGTACAAAGTATATATAGTAGTATAATCAAGATAAGATTTTAGGTAGACCTTATGACAGAAAATTGGTGGCATTTTAACGGCATTTTTAAATTTTCAAATGCTGCACTTTAAGACATCGAATTTAACTACATGTACTGCCTTGCGTAGGTAATATGATATGAAAACTTCATATACTGCATCGTGTAGTTAATAGCTATGAACACTTTATATCCTGCGCTCATAAGGTAATAGCTATGGAAGCTGACACAGAAATGGCGCGTTTAGAGTCATGCAAGAGCCCGGTATGACCCTAGGCTTGCACCATATTTTGTTTCCGTAAACCTTTACCTTCAATTAAATATTAATCTTAAGATTTTAATTTTTTGTCAGTCTTGGCTTTTTAGAACGCGAGATTTTTTTATGTAACTATCCAAGTTCGCATTTAAACATCATTATTTTGTATACAGTTGAGTTACTGAGTAGATACGTTTCAACAATTCTCTGCACATCTCTGTATGAATTATGTTGAATGATTCAGTTGTTTGAAAATACTCATAGCATTATTCACAAAAGCTTCACAGTCACGGAAATTTTCCAACCACCTCTGTTATTATTAATAACAAATTGACACTTTATTATGAGCTTGTGATATTGTTAAGCTTAGTGTAATTTGTCAAGTAAATAATGCATCTTTTGAGTTTTAAAAAGTTAAGGTTTCAGGTGCCAAACCGAATTCATTCTTATAGTAATGGTTCAATTACCAAACTCTTTAAATGAGAATAACTCTACTTATCCTCGTACCGTTAACACAACTGAGTCTTCTATTGATAAAATAAAGTTATGTATACAATTAAAGCAACATCATGAATAAAAACTTTTTATATAGATCTAAAAATAACGTATTGATTTTTGGATGTAATAAATTCATTGCCTGTTCATTGATAAAGACGAATGATGGGAACCAGTAGAGAGTTGAGGTGTACAAAATGTATTCATAAATCTTTGCGTGCTAAGAGATAAGGTAATAAAAATATGGCAGTCATTTTTTCATCTTTGCGTCACTTCTATGCTCAACATTTTTGTTGATTATTTCTTTATGTGCATTTAACTCGCAAATAATTTTTCCAAGCAGTGGAAGGATTTCTGGTAACGCATTCTATCATATTAATTAAAACATGCCAGTCATAATAATATCTTCGTGAATGAATCTCACAATGAATTACAATCAGTTATAAGCATGTTAATTGGCTCATTTTTGTATATATGTACATAAATAACTATAAGAAGCGTATTGCACGTTTTTCTTTTTTTATTGTCGTAACAAAGTTGGATCTGTTATTTAATCACCAGATACGCTAAATGATTCAATCCTGTAAATATACGTTATTCCAGTTCAGTTATTGGTTGTTCAGTTTGACGACTTTACAAGTCCTAGTAGCTTAAATGTGTAGCAATTTAGCTCAGTTTCGAGGGTACTTTACTTAAAAGTTTCATAAATAAAGTTCGTGAGCACCATGATATTACCTTCGAATCTGTAATTACAAGTATTATTGTATAGACTTGCTAAACAGGGAGAGCGCTTCATCTTGTGTGTGATATTATAACGTAAATAGGTCTTTATGATTCAGAGTATTGTAAAAAATCGAACTAGATGTGAAGAATAAATATGTTCAAAGCCCTTGTTGTGTCTAACAAACCAACATCCGATCGTTTTTCCTGGTTCATATATAGAAGTTTCCTTGAAATTTTTTCTTTTATAAAATCACAAATAATTTCAAACCCATGCCCAAAATTTAGCTCATAATTTAACTGACTGGTATTTATACTTGAAACAATATACTAATTTACCAACCATTATATCTTCTTTAAAATCATTGATGACGTTCCACATGAACGACACTCCTTTCTTTCATTCAGGATCTCCATGTTGACTTGTACACTAGAATTAATTGTACAGAAAAATCGTTCTCAAGGTTGACCCACAACAGAAACAATTACCAATTATCTTTATAAAAATTGTTATCATATACCGGACTTTTTTAAATGTTCTTAATCAGAACATGCGAATCTCGTGATCTCGTTGCCTATTTCATTTTGGGCATCTACAAATTCTGAATGATTCTGAATGGCTACGTTCTGAATGATTCAAAGATAGAGCTGCAGCTTGAGGATCCAAATTCATGAACCATTATGCGTAACTGAATCATCTGAATATAGAATCTCAAACTATATCACGACTTAAATTTCTAATATTGCACGTTATGCCCTGACAAGACTTCCTAGGAGGGCAGTTACCGGCCAACCGGCGTAAGAGAATTGGCAATCTGGACCCTCTGCAAGTGAAGGGTTTCATAGAGCGCATATTGCTGGACAGAACAACGACACGGGCTTGCCGTGCTGGTAGGCATACCGAGGCAGGTTATTTCGGTGTTTACGTTTTGCACTAAATAAACAATTTCATATTTACTCTGTTGTTTTGCATTGAGCCCAGGAATAAGAGCATATCCGCGTTTTGATCCAGTGGTGGTTTCTGTAGTGGATTACAGAAACCGCGTTTGTCTGAAATACCTTCCGTCAATTTAATATTCTCAGAATAAGAATCTGATGAGAGGGTCGGTAATTCTGACCTAAAATTATATTATACTTTATAGAACGTAGTTTGAGGGTGAAATAATTAATAACTTGAGTTATGAAAATTATTGGAACTTAGAGACTTATAGAGTGAAGTGTTGAGAAGGTTACAGGAATTTGGGTAGAACTGTGTAAAGCTTGTATGAGGTGCTTTTTGTTCTCGAGAACGTGAGACCGAGGGTTTGTTTATAGTTTGAAATGGCGAGGGTCAGCACCTTTGGTACCCTCGCCATTCTAAACTATAAACAAACCCTCGGTCTCACGGTCCGTTACGGTCACGGTCCGTTACGGTCGTATTACGTTACAATGGTCCATTGTAACGTAATACGTTAAATTATAAACGTATTACGTTACACCAAATTATCTGAACACACGAAACAAAAATAAAAATCAACGAGAAAAAAAAATGAAATCACAGCCAATCAATAATTTCATAATTTTCTAAACGTGAAACTCTGCCGTTTGTGAAACAGCAAAAAAAAGTTTAGATGAATCCTGTGAGCACGTCAAGAAAATCAACATCAACACTATGG